GATACAGTCACTGCTGTGCAGAGCTGAGCTGGGGAGGAGGTTGCTTCAATCACATCCCCCCAGTGACATCACAACAGTGGGAGCTGGTACCTGAACTGGTGCAAAGGGGCAGGTTGGACACAGGGGCTTGGAGCAAGCTGCTCCAGTGGAAGGGGTCCCTGCCTGTGGCAGGGGTTGGAGCTGGAGGAGCTTTAAGGTCCTTTCAACCCAAACCAGGCTGGGATTCTGACAGGAATTCTGCCCTATGTTTTAGACTGAAACCCCATAATCCTGCACCAAAGGAAACGCCTCCATGGTGACTGAGTCTCATAGAATCATAGAATAGTTCGGGTTGGGAAGGACCTTAAGATCATCCAGTTCCAACCCCCTGCCATGGGCAGGGACACCTCCCTCTAAACCATGGCACCCAAGGCTCTGTCCAACCTGGCCTTGAACACTGCAGGGATGGAGCATTCACAACCTCCCTGGGCAACCCATTCCAGTGCCTCACCACCCTCACAGGAAAGAATTTCCTCCTTATATCCAATCTAAACTTCCCCTGTTTCAGTTTTAACCCATTATCCCTTGTCCTATCACTACAGTCCCTAATGAAGAGTCCCTACCCAGCATCCCTATAGGCCCCCTTCAGATACTGGAAGGCTGCTATGAGGTCTCCACACAGCCTTCTCTTCTCCAGGCTTCATCCCCCTCAGCCCGTCCCTCTTCCTGCCTGGTGTTACCCTGGTGACCAGATGTTCCTTCACAAGGTGCTAAGAGCAGAAGACAGGCATGAATAAGCCAAGTGTCTGTTCTCATCCCCAGTGCTGCCCAATGGGGTCACCTTGCCCCTTCCCAATGGAGTTCTCATGGATTTCTGAACACCAGGATGAAGTTTTCCTAACATATGAGCTATGATTTGCCTAAAATTCAGCCCCATGATGGGGATCCCGAGGGAAGCTCCGGTACAGACCCAAGGGGGTGTAGAGCTGTCACCAGGTAGGCAAATGACAGCTTTATGAAGATGTGAACACTCACTCTGAGGCTGCAGCACAATGAACACTGGTACCAACAGGCTTCGTGGTGCTGCTGAACAGCTCCTGCTCCTGGGTTCGGACGATTCAGTGTGCTTGAAGTCATTAATGAAGGCTCCAGCTGTCACCTGGATACACCCCAACCCCAGTAGGGCACAGGCAGATGTTGCCACTGCAGAGAACTCACTGAGCAGCAGGACTAGGGCAAACTGGCTTAAAGAGGTTGTTAAGCAGCAGGATAAAACAGGGGCAGCACTGAAGAGGTGGAAGTCTGAGGAATGGGGTGATCTGAAATCCCCAAACGCAATGACCAGAGCTGGTGCCGGTGCTGTGAGTGCCAAGGTAAGGATGCGCTTGATACTGCTGTGCCTGGAGTCACTGCTCCTCACTGTGCCCATGGGCCGCAGGGGCAGCAGGATGGATGCTGGGGTGCAAGGTGATGCTTCTCCCTCTGCACCCTGGCGCTGGAGGAGCACCTCTGTAACAGAGCACCAAGCAGGACTGCTCAGTATCACCGGGCTCCTCCTCAGCCCTGCTCTGGGCCCAGGCACCTCTCACCTTCCTCATGCTCCAGCCCAGCCTCAGGCACTGCAGAGATCACCTCGGAGCACAGGAGCCCCGATGGAAGGGGCTGAGGGCACCCTAAGAGCTGTCAAGGCAGAGCGGATCCTGCTCCCCAGCACACATGGGAGCTCCGGCCTCCCCTTGGCACTGCTGAGCAGCTCCTTCAGGTACAGCCCAGCCCAGTGCCTTCCAGTTCACCCTGGACCCGGCTCCCTCAAAGGCTCACACTGGGTAACCAGGGACCTGTCAGGGGATGGTTACAGACCCAACATAGAACACCCACAAGGGAGCTCGGGATCAGCTTTGCTGCACAGGGCTTTTGTCCTCTGCAGCCTCCCAAGGGCTCAACCCCCTCCAAATGCAGGCTCCATCCCACACCAACAGCCCCCCTGCATCAGAGGAGCGGTTCCTGACCCCCCCTTCCCTTCCCCACCCAAGAGCTGTTGGTTTCCACCCTACACACCACGGTTCCTCACCCCTGCAGTGGAGCTAGCTCTGCCACTAACACTGCCCCATCCCTGGCAGTGCTCAAGGCCAGGTTGGACACAGGGGCTTGGAGCAAGCTGCTCCAGTGGAAGGGGTCCCTGCCCGTGGCAGGGGTTGGAGCTGGAGGAGCTTTAAGGTCCCTTCAACCTAAACCAGGCTGGGATTGTGCGTGTGATACTCCAGACACCCACCTCCATGCAAGGAGAGTGAAGGACAGCAGGGACACCGCACACTGAGCTGACAGCACCGCTCTCCTCTGAGGCTCTGCTGCTGTTTGAGAGCTGGGCCAGAGGGGAAGGGGTTCATCAGGAAGAGCTGAACCCCAGGACATGAGCTCTCCCAGCAGAGCTGCTCAGGTGGAGCCCATGGGCACACCACCACCACCAGCAGCAGCACCGTGTCCGGGGATGGGAGTACCGGTGGGGACACAACAGCTCCAGCCACTGCACCAGAGAGACTGGGAAAGCACTTGGGGTAACTGGGGTGTGAAAGGAGCGACAGGAAAACCAAACCCTGCAGTTCCTTTGCATGTTCTTAATGCAAACCATCAGACCTGCTTTTTGTCCCCGCAGGGGGAAAGGGGAGCTCGGCTGCACCCACAGCTCTGGGGTTTAATGGGTTAAATAAATAGCGGGGGGATTATAACGCGGTTGTGCCCGATGCTGTGTGCTGGGAGCAGGCCTGGCCCAAAGTAACTCACAGCTGCTGGAGGGCTGGGAGCAAATCCTCTGAGGGAGACAAGCAGGAAGCAGTGGAGGAGCCAGGGCGATGGAGCGCGGGTGGCCAAGCAGGAGCATCCCCAATCCCGTGGGGGGCTCCGCAGGAAGAGGAGCGGTTTTCCACCTCCTGGGAAGAGATCAGAGGTTGTTAAACCTGAGCCTGGTTTGTTCCCCACCGTTCAGCACAGAGGAAGGCAAAAGGGGCTGAGGAAGACAAGGCCCCCAGGCTTGGTGCTTTTCCCATCCCTGGGACACCTGCACCAAGGCACCCAGTGGGAAAGGGAGCACCGGGAGAGCTGCAGCAAAGGCCTTGGTTCTGCTGAGCCTCAGCTCCAGCTCCTGGAAAGGGCAGGGAAGAAGGGTAAGAAAGGAGGAAGGGGTCGGCAACTGCTGCCATGCAAAAGGCTAAACTTTATTCACTTTTATTTATATATTTAACAAGTCTAAAGTATTTCCTTCTGGCTTTGACAAAAATGAAAAATAGAGGAGCACTTTCCTGGCGGGAGGAGCGGGGGCTCTGTACAGCTCCGGGGCCTCCTTTACATACAAAGGAAAATAATAGTAATAAAAAAAGTGCTTCATCCATCAAAAAAGGACTAAAGAGCGGCAAGCATTTATTCACACTGTACATCACAGACCCGCACCCGTATCGGAACCTCTTGGCACCTGGCGTTAGAACTGCACTATCTGGTTTCGGGCTGGTTTCACCCCAAAGCCACCCCACGGCTCCCAGAGGCAGACCTCAGAGCATACCCCTGGGATGGAGCTGGTGTTGTGCTCTCCCTGCTCCTGCTGCACTCGGAGCCACTGCCTGGCCCTGTGCTGGGTCAGGAACACCTCCAGATCCATGTGCCTGGAGAACCCATCTTTACCCCTGCTCTGCCCTCCTGATGGGCTGAGCGATGTTTCAGACCCCTGCTATGGGGGAGCCCCTTCCCACGTGGATGCAGGCTGCCCGGCTTGTCCTGTGCATCTCCAGCTTGCACTGCAGCAGCGCAATGATGCTCACCGAGGGGGCAAGCTCAAAGTCAGCACCAGAACACCCTGACATTCCCATCAGACCTAACGGATACTCTGAGCTGGTTTTCTCTGTGCGATATTTGCTGTGGGTTATGGGATTCCGACATTCCAAGCGCTCCCTTCCCAAGGTTTCTGAGATTCTGAGCTTTTGTATCTAACACTCCCAAATACTCCAGCAGGATTCTTGAGAGTATCACGAGAAGCTGGACCCGTGTCCAGGCAGCACGCTGCAAAGCAGGATCTACGCTTCTTCCTTGCCAGATTGCACTACGCAGGTTCTACCCAAAGGGAATGGGAGGGGTTCCCCACACTCATTTAGAAAGGGATACTCAGGAGATTCACACTTCAATGAGGCGACTTGAAAAGTGACTTGGACTGGGGCAGGAGGAAGGAGGGGAATCCATGCTGTACTTCCAGGCTTTGCAAACCCTCAGGCAGGGTTTTCCTATCCGGAGTCTATTGGATACAGATTGCAAAGGAGGAGACGAGCACCAGGGCGCTGCTGCAGGGTGAGCCCAGCGCCTCACTGCCGCTCTGCTCCTCTGGGGACAGCCTCGGACCTGGCTCTGGACCAGAGCACGGTGGTGCCCGTGTGAGCCATGGTCAGAGCCCTGCCATGGAGCAGCTCTACACCCGGTACCCCCCCCATAGCCAGGGCTAGGGGGGATGTGGGGGTCTCCTACTCCCCGTTTGGGTTTCAGTAATGGATTGCATTGGCAGAACTTGAGAGGCACCAGAGGAAAGCCCATCACAGCCACTCCAACCCCTTCTCCCATTTGCCAGCGTTATCCAGGCGTCCCCGCTCCGAGCCGCCGGCAACAAAGCACCCCGGTGTGTGTGCAAGCAGAGCTCTGCAACTGATTGAGGGTAACTAAACCCACTCTAAGAACAGAGAGGGAGAGTGCTCTCTTGGGAAAGAGATTCCCATTTCTTCTAGCAGCAACAGGTTCCCAAACAGCAGTTTCTTGTTTGGAAGTAACAGGAGTGATTGAAAGCGCTAGCACTGACGCTACAGGAATTCACGCTCCGCACACTGGCTGGATTCATTCCCCTCTTCTCCTTTCCCCCCCACCCCCCCCGAATTGTCTGTCTGCAACAGTTCTGCAGTGGGACAGTTAAATACAAAGGGGAAAGCTGGTTCTGAGCCAGCTCCCATCCCACTGCCACAACCTTCCAGCAAACAAACAGATATATATTATTATATATACACACACACACACACGCGTAGACACATACACACAAATAGGACAGAAAGGAAAAGGGGGAGAGCTGGGAAAGGAGAATCCCACAATCCAGCGGCACATCCTCGAGGTCTGTCCTGCTGAGCAGTGTTCCAGGCCCCGACCTCCCATGTGCACAACTTGGCTCCCTCGTCCTCCCAGCCGCAGCCCACCGGGAATCCTCCTGCCTGGCTGTCGGGGGGGGAATGGGCACGGCTGCTCCGTGCTGCTTCAAGGCTGGAACTTTAGTTTGAGGTGGCAGTGATGGGTTTATCCAGTTCGAGGTCAAGGCTGGAGCTGCTGGGGTGCAAGCTGCTGTAGCAGGATTTGCAGACTCTGCTGGGTTCGAAGAGCTGCTGACTGGGAACGGGCACCTTCTGGTTACAGCAACTGGAGCAGAACACGTTTCCACAATTCCTTGCATCAGGAAGGGAGGAGAAATGGAAAAGAGGAGATTAGAGGCAGGTTGAGAACGTTCCCTGAGCTGTAACTTCTGCTGCTCACAGGGTTGTGATGTGGTCAGCCCAGAGGCTGCAGTGGCTCCTTCCCAAGCACAGGGTGCGTGTGAAGCCACCACACCAGCAGCTGCACCCTGTGCTCCTCACTGTTGCAGCTGGAGTGGAGCTCTAGGGAAGGACACCAGGAGGGAGCACAAAGCTCATGGAGCATCCCTAGAGCCACAGCTCTCCTGTGCAACGCTGACATCAAACTCAGCTGACAGGGGGAGACTGAGCTGAGCTCTTAGGCAGAAGCTCTTCCCTGTGAGGGTGCTGAGGCGCTGGCACAGGGTGCCCAGAGAAGCTGTGGCTGCCCCATCCCTGGCAGTGCTCAAGGCCAGGTTGGACACAGGGGCTTGGAGCAAGCTGCTCCAGTGGAAGGGGTCCCTGCCTGTGGCACTGGCTGGACCTGGATGAGCTTTAAGCTCCCTTCTAACCCAAACCAGGCTGGGATTGTGTGCTTCTATGAAACTGGAGGGAACCCACTCCTCCCTGAAACAGGGGTAGAGTTCTCTCCCATGGCCTGCAGAGGAGTTTGGGCACGATGATGCTAATAGCCATGGGCACATGGCTAAAGCACAGCAATCTAGGGGCTCCCCCCGTAAGGATATGTGGAGTGTGGTGCCCTGGGTCTGCTCACATCCCTGACCCAGCCTTGTGTTAGAGATAGACTGTCCTGGGAGGAGGTGGGAGCCTTGGTTCCTTTCCTCTTCTAAAAGCTGGTGAGTACCAGCACAGAGACACTTCCTTCTGTTTCTGTCCAGCACACTGCTGGGAGTTGAAGCATGGGACACGAAATAAAACCAGCCCCAGTTTGGGCTGATGCAATCCTCCAATGCCCCAGCAGCCCGGTCCCTATTGCAGCATGGCCAGCACTCCCCACACAAGGTAAGCTGAGTCCCCATGCAAAGGCAGAGCTGGGCAGGCAGGTTTGGCATGCTCAGCAGCACAGCAGGGTGCTCATACACATTCCTGTCAGGTGTGAGCCGGAGCATGCACGTCACAGGGGGCAGGGATGGGACCAAAACCTCGAGTTAGTTACCTGCTTTTCCTGCAGCCCCCCTCTAACCTGCTGCTGCTCACACTAACCTGAGGGTCCTGTCCTGCACAAGGAGTTCAGAAGAGCACTGAGGGACCCGAATGGTGCAGGTTCACCTCTGTGCCTGACACCCCATCCATTCACTCTTTGCCACCAGGGTTTTGTGCCATTCCTATTATGTGCTAGGAAAGATCTCCTGCTGCCACTGGACTGACAGAGAATTCTGCCTACACCCAGCAGCTTGGATTAATGCTTCACTGCCAAAGAGACAAGATTTCCAGATGCTGGTCACTGATGTGGAAAGAGGTGGCAGAGAAATCCCATTTGTCACTTTAGTGGGCTCCTTTTTTCAGCTCCACGCAGTGGCTCCTGGTCTCAAAGCTGTAACCTGCACACTGGGAGGCTGACAACAGCCCCAGCCTTCCTGCAGTGGTGCTGAAGTCTTCACCTCTGTCAGAAGCTCCCTGCTGATGGATGAGGTCAAAAAGGAACCCGAGGGATTAAGACAAGTATGTGTTTGTTGTAGCTCACCAGCTTCCTAACATATGCTCAGGGGTTTTTGTTGTTTCACCTTTCTGTGACAGATAAGGGTAGCTGTTCCCCCCCGAGCTTCAGAACACTCCGAACAACTCCTGCTTTCTATCCTGGTGGTCCCTCTGCTTTGCTCAAGAGATTACAAAGGGATGTTAAAAGCCCATGCTGGAAAAGCCACCCTGCTCATCTGAGGAAGGTGGCTGGAATCATGCTGCCCACACCTCCTCTTCCTACTGAGCCACAGACTGGCACAGGGTGCCCAGAGAAGCTGTGGCTGCCCCATCCCTGGCAGTGCTCAAGGCCAGGTTGGACACAGGGGCTTGGAGCAAGCTGCTCCAGTGGAAGGGGTCCCTGCCTGTGGCAGGGGTTGGAGCTGGAGGAGCTTTAAGGTCCCTTCCAACCCAAACCAGGCTCTGGTTCTGTGATTATCCATTCTCGGTGATACTACCCCTCCACCAGCTCTGCATTCCCTGTTGCCACCACAGTATTTTCAGTCCTTCTAAAAGAAGTAGCAGGTTTGCTGCCAACATGCTGCAGTGTTATTAATATTGTTGAGTAACTCATGGACCTCTCCCAAAAATAAGGCAGAAAAGGGAAAGAATCACAACTGTGTAATGGCTACACTTGAAAGACAGGTTCTTCTCAGTTAGAAGTGAAGCATTCCTTGTTACTCAAACACACAATTTACTGGTGGTGTTAGTGTGAGATCCACACCCCCATTTAAGCTACCAAAAGCCAAGTCCTAGGTGCCTTCTGTGAAGAGAGAGGCCTGGTTATGTGGATCTAAACAGCTACCAGATTGTGTTGCACTCCCCCCTCCCAACTTATTTCTAGTGATTTCTAGGCAAGTGAAAAACAAAGAGTGGGAAAGCCTGAGTTAGTTCAGAGATGTTACCAAGAAAAGACAGGCAGAGAACAGACAGAGGCTGTTGTAAATGCTCACCAGATCTGACCAACACCTTCAATGTCCCTGCAAGGAGGGGAGAAAGAGCTCAGAGGGGAACGAGGGAAAGCAGCAAACAGGGGCAATGAAGGAAGTGGGATGTTTTCATCCTGCTCAAGGATTGCACTGTGTGGGTTTCAACTCGTTTTCACCCTCAGGTCAGCTGTGGAGCAGACTGCCACTGAGCACTGGGGGTGTGAACACGTGTACTATGGGAACACTTGGGTGTTCTTCCTGGTTGCCATTCCTTACTGGTCTCTGCTGTAAATGACAGAGCTCACATGGACAGCCTGGTCACCATGTGAAAGCTGAAGAAACCAAGTCACTAAAGGGCAATTTGCAATCAAACTGGAAACCCTGAGTCAGTTTTAACTCCTCGTGGTGTTGGGGTGTCCTGTGTCCACACTCCAGGAGCTCTCCAGAGCCCAGGCCTAGGAAATGGGAATGTAGATGCCCAGTGTGATGGGCTAGGGAGACAGCTCTGATGGGCACACTTTGCACCCCCAGTGCTAGGAGAAGGCCACAGGAAAACACCACCTGAACTCTCATACACCCCTTTGGATGTGTACAACTGCATGCCTGGCAATTCTATTCCTCATCTGAAGCCTTAAGGCACAGAAATTTGCTCAAACACTGTGGACACACAAAAAATAACCAAAGCCCTTCAACAACTTTTCATTCTCCCCTGGCTTTGTCTTTACAAGACTAAATGGAGCAATACATAAAACAGGTACAACAGAAGAAAGATGTTTGTAATTCTCCGTGCTTCAAAAAGCAATGAAGCATCAAAATGGGATAACTGCCATTTATTACATGATGGGTCTTGTGTTAGCTTTCTCCTGCCCAGAAATCAGGAGGAGGAATTGTATGGAATAGAAACCTGAGATTCCCTGTCTTTAACTAGAGTATGACCTCATCAAGCAACCTCTGCCACTTGTCTTTCCCTGAGCCCCTGCTGCACTATCGGTTGTAGCCTCAGCTGGCAATATGTGTGGCAAAGAATAATCCAGAAAGCTTAGTTCACAAAGGTGTCCTTTCCAGATTCGCTACATGAGCCATTTAATGAAAAGGGGAGAATGGTTAGAGAAGGAAAGGAGCAGGTTTGCAACCAGCAATGGGAAGATGCTGCTATTCATCTGTTTGCAGTACTGAATCCCTGAATGCCAAGATGACACACCAGTATTTTTTATCATTTACACTTCTTAAAAGGCTAAACAGGCAGCTGCCTCCAGGTCCAGCCCGAGGACAAAAGGCAGAGTATGTTTAGGCTGGGGTGGAGCAGATACCTGGCTTTTTAAATATGTATTCCTCATAGAACTGGAATACAGAGGAGAGACTGTTTAGCTCCTCCAGCACGCTCGGCTCTTCAGGAGCGTGCACAGCCCTTCTCTAAACCCTATAGTGTGACATCCATCCCTGAGAACGGAGCTATGTGGTTTAAAAGGAGAGGGAAACCCAAGCCGTGGCCTCCCTCCCACCCTCTGCACAGGTTACCTGCAGTGGTGCTTCCTGCTGGCAAGCCAGAAGGTGCTGTCACAGCCGTAGCAGTGTGCAGCGAGGTGGTCTGGGAGCCATCGCGTCACCTGCAAGAAACCCAAGCCAAACGGATCAAGGAGAGGGCAATTAGAAACAAACCCATCGCATCTGTGCTCCCAAACTCAAAGCAAAGCACCACCAGGGAGGTGCTTGTTCTGTTTTGAGAGCACAAATCCAGTGTTTGCAACAACTGGAGACAGGCGACAGAAACCTTGAGAACAGAACGCTAGATTTCCCTCAAACAGAAATGATGCCATGAAGTCCAATTCCCTGGGGTTTTCCTGGGCTTTAGATGTATCTAGCCAAGAATATTCACCAAGCATGTGTCCACCTAAGGCTCCTTGAGCTAACCATCCCTTCCACAGCCTCTCAGGGTTCCACGCAGAAGGCAGAGGGCTCATAGGCACAGGTACCAGTGGTTGAAGCACGAGACACCAGTGAAGCACAAGGAAGAGAGCTCACAAGAAGTGGCACATGACCAAAGGCTGAAGGAGAGTTTGAGTTATGAATATCCCCATCCTACTGGAAAAATGAGTGATTTACAGGGATTTAGTCTGTACCTCTGTGTCCTGTTTATCCACCTGCTCCCAGCTGGCTTCAGAGAAAATCTCTGTGCTGCAGCGAGACAAGCAGTTCTGATCCAGATTGCTTTCCGAGTCGGGTATAGAAGTCTGTTGGCAAACAAACACAGCTGAACAGAACCATCCCCTATCCCTAATTCCATACAAATAAAACTGGACATGGGGAGGAGTGGAAAGGGTACCTCCTGCTGAGAAAGAGCAGGCTACGACTGCACTGCAAGGGTGAGTGCCATAACTGGTCCCCTATCTATGGTGAATTGCAAAAAAACCCAAACCACCAAGCAAAAAGTCCCCCAAGAGCTCAGTTTTGGACCCTCCGATGACAGGGTGATGTGAGGCAGAATGAATCTGGGATCTATTCTTCTGCTGGGTTAGCCACACTTTGGGTGATGAACCAAAACAGCTGCTATCTGTGGCTCCAATGTTTCCTTTCCAAGGCTGTTTCACTTTCAAAGCTAACACCAGTAATACATAGATCCTTTTGTCAGCAAAAATCCTGCAAAATACAAGCCAGATCCCACATGGGAAACTCTGAATTTGAGCCATATATATTCCATATACAGTTTTAGGGGGAACTATACTTCTTTAATACAGTTTATGCAGGTAGAGTTGTTTTGAACTGACCTAAAACTCAGCCAGCCTTTAATATACATTAAAAATAGCAAGAAATCTTGAGTTAATGCCTTTTAGCACATGAGGAATGGGAATCTTTGGAGCTCCAAAGGGAACCTTTTACCCCCCCAAGCTGGGAAGAGCTCAGATTCTCAAAACTGGTGTATTTTCTCGAGCACAGCACGCTCCCCCCTCCAGCCCCATGCTGCACTTTGTGACAGCCCTTCAAAACGGGGAGATTTATCATTCAGCCAAAGCACCAAATTTCTCCAAGGAATCCAAGCTTTTGCCAGGGACAGAAGCCACACGCAGCTGGAATGACACCGAGCTGAAATGGGTGCCCAGAAGTGCTGTCATCTCCCAGCGTGAACAGCCAAGAGGCGCTGAGTATTCTCACAACAGATGTACCTGGGTCTATAAAGCCTCTCTGCCCCTTCCAGGCAACAGGAATCTAAACAGAAGCTGCAAACCTCCTGTAGGTTTATTTTCTCTTCAATTTTGCAGGCATATAAACCACATTATAATGTACATGTAGGAAGAAGGAAACTTTCGATGGGTGTTACATCAACCTCAGGAATTCCAGGCCAATGCATCCAAACCCCAAACCTTTTGACTTCTATTAGTCAAAAGAGGAGAAATGAGGTAAAAAAACAGGGAAGAAGCAACCTAAAAATCCACCCAAGCCACTTGGAGATGCAGAGAACACTTGTCAGCTCTTGAGATCCTGACCTTGGAAGAATGCTCATTTCACCTCTGATTTTAAGGTTTCTTCTGCCAACCATAACTGCAGAGATGATTTCATCGCTATGGAAATCTGTGATTAGTCCTGGAGTTGAATCATGCCTCGAACTTCAATCTCTGTTTTATGACTTTAAACTCTTCCCAGTAAGAACACAAAGAGTTTAAAAGTTCCCTTAAAATCATTACAGAAGCCCTGGCAGAAGGCTGTTGCAAAAGCTCTCGATTTATTACAGTCAATGAGCCTTGAACTTCACTGTTCTGAGCCAACAGTGCAGCTACTGCTGCATCTTTCTTACCCTGAGCGTGCAAAGCACTCAAGAGCTCAGTCCTACACCACTGCTCCTACAAATCCCACATTCACATTCGTAGGAAAAAGTCGTTGCCCACATACTTAAACCACAGTTTTCATATGTTTGTGGGGTTTTTTTAAGGCAAGTGAAGTTGTCCAGGTATGTGTGAGTGAAACACCCATGCTGAAAAAAGCCTTTGGTGCATTTATGGTCAAACTAAAATACAGTGAAATTATTAGTCATCCTTAACTGCCATTTGCCATGTACCCAGTCAGTTGTCTGCCCCTCCTTGGAATGACCTGAAGTGTTTTAGAAAGCTTGCATGGCCAAAATATCACCACCTGCCCAGCAACCCAAGAGCTGACAAGCTGGTGAGGTCCAGAACATGCCTGACTACCCCACTGTTGCCATAAGTGGCCCAACTACCATTTCACTTACCACTTCGTCTCCATAATCACCATTGAGACGTAAGGAGCTATTCAGGAACTGGCTCTCCAACCGGCTTTTCAGCTCTTGCACTTGCTTCTTCAAGGTCTCCACTTCTTGCTGGTGGCCAGTTTCTATCTGGCGCAGGCGCTGCTGGATGACATCAGTGTAGACAGGCATCCCATCGTCATCCAGGTGACTTCTGGCAGGTTGGTCTGGGCTGCTGGCTGCCTGCTGCTTCCCAAGGTGACCAAACATCCATTTCTGGTGCAGGTTCCTCAAGTGGAACTGTGCAGAACTGCAGCTAGCTGTGGAGACCTGCCTGCTCAGGGAGGCTTTGATCCGCCCGTCCTCTCCGTTCACACAGTGTCCGTTCGTCGCGTGGTATTTCGGGGGCAGCCCAAACCCCGTGGGTTTCTCTGTCATCTTGTTCTCAGTCTCCAGCTCCCCGTTACACACAATCTCATCTTTACGTTCAGCTAAAGGCAAGGCACAAGGGGAAGGCATCGGGATGTGAGTGTTGCTGCTACCAGAAGTCCTATGTACTTTTGTTCCCAGTTTCTGAAGTTCTAGCATGTTCTCCCCCTCTGGCCTGTTTTCAAGAGTTCGAGACAGTTCCTCAGCACTGCTGTTGCCCAGGGGAGGTATGTGGCAAGGCAGAACGAGCTCCTGCTTTGCTTCGTTCTCTGTTAAGGTTTCTGTAGAACTTTCAATGTTGGATGTCCTTGCCTCGTGTGGGATTGTGAGAGGTAACGGAAGGCTGGCCTGCTCTGCACCGTACAGGCTTTCTGCTTCTCCTTCAAGTTTGCTAATACCTTCCTCCTCCGTATTCTTTTGAGTGTCTCTACTTACAAAGCCCTCCAAAGTTACAACCTGTAGTCCTTTCACCTGAGGTACCTTCTGGATAGTGTTACTGAGATCAGGATGCTCATCCTGTTGTCCTTTAAGCTCAGAAGCACCTTGAGAAGCTGGATGTGGATTGAGAGTTGGATTGTTCATTACAATACCTTTATCCATCTCAGCCTTTCCACAGAGGTCACCAACATACCCATGTACATTTTCAGTTCTCTTCTCCTTATCCGGGGCAATTTCATCCCCTTTACCTACTGTCTCCAGGCTCCCCCTCGAGTGCTCCTCCAGACCAACATCATCTTTAGTGGCCTCTTGCAAGATGTTCTCCATCTGTCCCTCTGCCACACCAGCTGCCACAGAGAGCTCTGCTCCCACTGGAGCCCTGCCCTGTTTACTGAGGCTGTCCCCATCGAAAGGGTCATCCCCAGGGTTACTGAGGCTGCTCAGCTCCAGGGACCGGCGGTGCTCCTGCCACTTCTCATTGAGGCTGGGGTCACTACTGCGTCGATTGCTTGGAGGCATGCTGCTGTCACAGGCCGTGGTCAGATTGTCAAAGGATCTTGTCTTTGGTAACCTGGGAAAGTACAAATAAGCACAATCCAAAATCAGTGTTTTCAAGGCTTAGCTACTGCAGTTTAATACCACCCACCCCAACCACCCCCAATTAGGACAGTAACAATCTGCTAACTAATGGCCTTCTGTGAAGTATGCAGTAGGAGCACAGTTTGACCATCTGTAGTGCAGAGCTGCTTCAGTACTTTCTTTGTTTGCCATCAGGAAAAGATGTTCCATCAGACTTCAAACATTCCCAGAATAATCCCCTTCCCACAATGCACAATTACAGTCTGGTCCCATCTCCTAAGCAACATGCGCTCAGAACCATTGTTCAAAACCCCAGAAGAATAGTTACACAACAGAAAAAGAACTCAAATTCAAGACCATCAGATGAAAAGCTTATATCCCACAAGGATATAAGGAATTCTACATGGCTATGCAACACCCAGAGCTTAACTCTATTTGCTGATCTTCTCTGTGGTATGGTATCACCTCTGAAACATAATGGCTTTCATAACTCAAGCAACGACAGACTGCTTGTGGGTAGGTCCCACAAATAAGCCTGTGAAAAACAGTTCCCTCCCACCACAAGTATTCTCCTTTTTATATCCCACAATATTCTCTGTTGATCTTACTTTACAGGATGGGATTTCTGGGCTCTAGGCTCACCTGCCCAGAGGCTGATCTTCAGGGCTAGAGCCTGGAACAGGGTACGGGGCACAAGTGTCATCAGTGGGTGTAGAGGGGGAAGAGCATGGCAGGTAAACAGCACTCCAGAGCATTAAGTTCCGCACATGGCACACTGGATACAGCACCTGAGAGGGGGGAACACACAAGGATCAGAAATGGCAAACTGCTCCCTGCTCCCAGAACACAGGGAAGGGTTCAAGTCTGACAAAGGTGGCAGGTGCCCATCTGGGTTTGCAGCTGGGAGGCTTTGCCAGGTCTCCAGGTAATTCTGAAGGCCAGCGAGCAGCTCTGGCATCTGTAACCAGCTCCACTTGGATATGTGATTATCTCTTCTTTCTGAGGCAGAACAATGCTGGCTTTCAGCTTCTCCTGAATGAGTTACTGCAGTGTGCTCTGTGTGAATCTACACCTTAGTGATGCCTCTGCGCAATTCCAACTGCTGGAGAATTCAGTGGCCCATTGTTAGCGCAGAGACTGCCTTGTACTTTGTGTTATACCCTGTCCCACGAGAGCTGAACTAAGAACCTCCTTCTACAGGCTCCAGTTCAAAGTAACCCTGTCAGCAGCAGAAGCACTGGTATGTTAAAGAGTAAGTACATGCAAAAATACTCCTGACTTGCTTGCTCTTAAAAGGGATTCTGTGCCTGTGGAATATGCTTTCTGATTCAGTGTAAAACCACCTCGGGTCACTCTATCAATCTCACTCTTTTCCCAGGCAACTTCCCTGTGGAAAGGCAGGCAACGGCAGAGAAAGCGAGGGCTGTGGGGTGGCTTCGTTTGGTGGTTGCTGCTTGTGAGCAACTATGGGTTTACAGACGTGGCTACATGAGAGAGACTGAAAAGACTTTTAAAGACTGAAGTAAAACCATGAAAAGATGAATATAAGATAAAAGCCTCCCAGATACTGCAGGTTATCCCAAATGGCTCAGTACAGCATAGGGCCTACTGAGAACAGCCAAGGCACTGAGACTGCGCCTGTACTGCAGGACACAGCACGTGAGGGCAGCCAGGGACAGTTCGACCTGTCCCCACAGCCTCTGCTGGTGTTTTCAGGGAAAACTTGGATGCATCCACAGCTTTAAAAGCTGTATTTATCTGCAGTGTCTCATGCTTTCAGCTACTTGAAGGAACAACCCAAAAGCCACATCCATCATATGCAAAACCACTGCACAGGCCTTACAGTTAGGTTTATGATACCTGATATTTTTATAAGCAAAATGGGTTTAAATGTTTATAAAAGCCTTTGCTGTCCTCATCATGATGATGTTTGATGACTTTCTGCCACATGCCTACCACAGTGCATCCATTTATACCTTACATGACCTTCCATCACATACACTAAAGAGAACTGTGAGGCATTGCAATGGAAGGACCACACTGAAAACATCCAAGTGTTAAGAGAAGCAAAGATACACTGAATAATCAGAGTTACTTTTCCTGTTTAGATTCAAGATGAGTATAGACACAGTGTCTTAAAAAATAACTTTCTGACACTCCTCCGGCATCGCTCAGTCCTCTAGAAAGGTCTGCCTGTCAAACAGGGAAATGTTTTCTGTTACAGAAAATGAGGCAAAATATTTAGTTACAAAAATCGCATTTTCAGCATAGAGAAATTTTTGAGGTTGAATTTGACATTCCTTAAACATCAGCAAACTTAATGCAAGACTTGAAACATCATAGTGGGCAGACTGTTTGAAGGAGAACATTGATGAGGAGAGCTGAGCACACCTATACACTGTATTCATTATAAGAGTTGAGCCATTAGTACGTCTCATTGCTATAAGCTTGGGTGGTTTTTTAAAGTACCTACAGGGGCCAACACAAAACCTGAGAGGGGCTTGGGACAAGGGCCTGTAGGGGCAGGCCAAGGGGAATGGCTTGAACCTGCCCGAGGGGAGACTGAGCTGAGCTCTTAGGCAGAAGCTCTTCCCTGTGAGGGTGCTGAGGCGCTGGCACAGGGTGCCCAGAGAAGCTGTGGCTGCCCCATCCCTGGCAGTGCTCAAGGCCAGGTTGGACACAGGGGCTTGGAGCAAGCTGCTCCAGTGGAAGGAGTCCCTGCCTGTGGCAGGGGTTGGAGCTGGAGGAGCTTTAAGGTCCCTTCAACCCAAACCAGCCTCTGATTCTATGATACCCACTTCTGAGAGCAGTGTACCTGGGAGCCCCTAAAGGGATGCTCCCTGCAAGGTGGGGAATGAAGGATACATACAGAGTCTGACTGGGAGGAGTAGAGCAGGTTTTTGAAGGCTTTGTTTGCTGCCCGCAGCAAAGACCAGACAGAACAGGTCCGTTCCTGAGTGTGTTTCTCTCCTCTCTCTTTCGCATTGTTGCACAGGAATGTACCAAAGAGGCAAGAGTAGGTGTGCTGCACCAACTTCACCTGCACAGACCAACACAGACATTGTCACAGGGCAGAAAGAACCAACAGTCAGGATTAAGAAGCAACAAATCCTTCCTTTGCAGGGAATCCACCCCGTTCAGAAGGGCAGACACACACACACACACACACCTGCATTTTTGCATAACTCCTTATAAATTAATTGCAAAAGAGCTCAAGCAGAGCAGAATCTTTTAAAATCATGACCAAAAAAAATGCAAGAAGAAATACAGAATAGAAAGACAGTATTTATTCATAATCAAGCCTATTCTGTGCTGATTCACTCTCCTAGCGCTGCAGGATAGGCAGAGAGCTGTGATCCCTCTGTTACAACACATTGCTGCAGCACAGAAATTCTGATCGTTATTCACTGTGTCTAACAAAATAACTCAACATGAACTCAACTTCAAGCATATAAATGACTTGCATGGGATTATTCAGAGGTTTAAATGAAGACAAGTACTTCAGTGCTGTATTCATTTAGGGGTTTACTCTGAAAAGGCCATAGTACTCAGGGTACTGCAGATTAGCAGTGTGCTGTGAAGCCAGTTACCATCCTTGTATCTCATTTCACAACTGAGCTGAGCCAGGACTGTACATGTACCCAGTTACATGGCTGAGCTGGCAAGTGGTAAAGCAAGTCAGCCACAAGCACAGGAACGTGCTTTAAATCTCTTAGCGGATCAGACACTTCCTAGAAACTTCTACTCTTAAGAGTTCTAGCCCTACAGTCTGTGGCCACCACTTTCCCAGGGATCTGCCTTCCAGCCTGCAGAACTCATTTTGAGCATCCCAGGCAAATCCCTATTAGGAGAGGTGTCCCCTTCAAAAGCAAACAAACACAGCTCACATCCCACACATTTTTAGCAAAGAAGTGAATGGAAAGGTAAGGGGCAGGTCAGTTTTAGAGGAGGAGCCTTCAAGTCAAAACAAGACCACAGTAGGGGGAAGTTTATATTGCCAGTAAGCATGACTTTATGCTGCATGGATGCTTTATGCTGGAGTTATGCCAGCACCTCCTAGGTGAGACTATTAAATTCATATCATCTATTTATTTCTTTAAAGTCTAAAAGAAGTCCTTACGGGTCCTGCTTCTGTTTTAAGAGCGAACAGACCTCAGGTCCCATGAAGTATACAAGTACTTTTGTCTGTTGTATCTGGACAGTTTTCCCACTACCTTTATCAGGCTGCAGCATATCACAGCTAGAGGGGAACATCAGAAACCCCTTGGGGCTCTACAGTGGGTACTGGTTTAGCAGCAGTCTATAAAACAGCAATCTCTCAAGCCACAACTCACAAGGAATGCTTCGTTAAACTCGAAAGAGCAAGGGAACTGCCTCTGGAGCTGATGGACGCAGTCCAGCCACTGTAAAAACACTGGGCAGCGCTCATTCAGGTCATCCGAGTTCTCACCATGGCCACAGCGATCTGCAAACTTGTGGCCAAAATCCAGCCACTCCGTCTCCACTAGCACCTGGAAACCCTGCAGAAATGAAAGGACAGGTGTAAAGGTCCTCATTTGCTTTGGTTCCATTTGCTAAGATGGTTTGAGGCTTCTGGGAATCCCTTTATTCTTACTGTTTCCCTTCAGCACTGGCCTCATTACTTATCTTTACTGCTTCTTCACCTAATGCCTCTGGGTTCTGAAATGCTGCATGATGGAAATTAGGACAGAGATGAATTCCCATGGCTATATGAACAGGAGAGGGGATAAAGCAGGTTAAGTCCTCAATGACTCCCAGGGAAGACCCTGAATGAGACCTCTCTTGGCCAGGCAGGGGTGAGGACGAACTTCATCTTGCTCAAAACCACCTGGATCACGGAAACCAGCATGTGGACATGAGAGGGAATTGTAAAGCTCTCCCTTGAAAACAAGGGCAGCTGTGTCTGTCACTAAAGAAACCCATTCCTCCATCCACACAGGACACAGATGCTTGGAGATGATGCTCACTTGTGTGTACACCCCACAGAACACAGCCACAAGGCCGGTTAAAGTCTTGCAGGACTTCTTGTGGAAATAGAAAGGGCAATGAACATTTCAGAACAGTGCCTGGCGGAGCACCTGAATGTGACAGCTCACCTTAGTGGATATAAAACCCATCACACGTTAGCAAGGGTTTGATTTGTAGTGGGAAGAAAAATTGTAGAGCATACTTAAGTCAACAGCTGTAATTAGGGCAAAAATAACAGCTGAAAACCTTAAGATTTGACATTACTGAGGCTTCATTTTCCTAAACATTTCTGATCCTTATACAGACAGCTATAGTTAATGGTTTCCTCTGATGCAGTGGTGACAAGAAGGAAGGCAAGGGATGGGTACAGAACTCCACACTTTGGGCAGGGATAACAGCACTCTTAGGAGGGACCAGGAGGAGGCGCTGCCAAGGACAGAGCAGCATGTTTTGACCTGATGGATGCCAACTTCTAGAACCCATGTGAAAAAGCATCTAAGAAGTTTCCACAGTTTCATCCAAAAGGCATTGCCACAGTTTAAACTTCTGGTCCTGTGTGTCCAAGGCTTTAAGCAGCAATTTATATCCCAGTGTTCAGACACATGCTTCTGTTCTAGACAACAAAGGCATCTTGCACGTGGGCTGGCAGATGGAATCCAGCCATCACATATCACACAGTGCTGAAAAGTGATGGGGCGGAGGAGGAAATCAGCCTGGAAAACCAGGAGAAATGTAACTAAGTGACAGAGGGCAATGAAAATGTGAAACTGGAAAAACATGCAGCTGGGCAATCTAGAAAAGAGAAAGGCTTCGTATTGATACTTGGCTGAGAAATTGCAGTGGTGGAGCAGCAACTGCAATGTGCAGCACTCTGCACTATTCCTAAGTTAAAAACAGGAAAGCACAGACCATGACTGTGCAGTTGCATCAAAGGGGGAAAATATAATCTGCTCTTGAGTTACAGACTGTATTTACACCTATATGTAACTGTATGTGCAGCCTAGTGTTAGGAAACTCCTGCTAGCTTTAGTGCCTTTTGTAGTGGGAAAACCTGACATCAATTACAGAGCTCCTCAGAGAAGGACCTAAACCCAGTAAGTACCTCATGCCCTACCAGGTGGTTACAAACCTCTGTGGTCCTGTAGTACGGATCTAGCAGCAGTTTGGCCAGTGCCACTATCTGGGGTGTTCGGTCCCAGCCGTCTGAGCAGTGCACCAGGACCGGTCGCTGGTCTCGGTCCACGGCATGAACTACGAGCAGCGCAGACTTCAGAAGCACAGATAAGTGCTGCAGCCATTTGGTGCTTTCCAGAGCTGATAACCAACTAGAGGAAAACAGGGGAAGACAGTTTTTGTTCCTTTACAATGCTTTGTAAAAGAGGAGGTGAGGATATTTGAATTTATCCTGCTTGAATGGAAGGGTGGAACCTGAGGTGCCTTCAGAATCTCTGTCCTTCAGCTATTCCCAAGCTCTACAATGTATGCTGTAGGTATCTGAAGAATCTCTACCCTAAGAAGAGCTATATATCCAGTTCAGCAAGGGTGGCCATTCTGGATCTATGATGATGCCATGAAAGACTCTTAGCAACAAACTCAAGTCAGGGGAGTGGTAGGGGAAGCAGGACTGGTACAACTTAGTGCTGCAGCCCTGCGTCCAGCTCTGGGACCCCCAACACTGGAGGGATGTAGAGCTGCTGGAGTGAGTGCAGAGGAGACCATGGAGATGATCCGAGGGGTGCAAGAGCTCTGTTGTGAAGAAGTTCTTCCCTGTGAGGGTGCTGAGGCGCTGGCACAGGGTGCCCAGAGAAGCTGTGGCTGCCCCATCCCTGGCAGTGCTCAAGGCCAGGTTGGACACAGGGGCTTGGAGCAAGCTGCTCCAGTGGAAGGGGTCCCTGCCACCATTACATGATTCTATGAACGAATGTGTCCTAATGGAGACCCATCTCAGAAGCTCCTGAGATGATGGGCTGTTAGAGGCCAGTCATCCCACAGCACTGGAGGGCTGTGAAATACGTCTCTTGAAATGACACTTTAAGTGCATGAAGTACATGCAACACCACTAGAATTTTCTGAAGGAAAGCCAAGCAGTAGAGGTTAAAGAATGAGGAATAGCAGGTGACCTCAATGCTAGCACTTAGAAACCCAACTGAAAGTCACAGCATTCTAGTACCAACACTCAAGGCTACATTATAATCTCAGATTTCATTTCCTAGGTTCACTTCAATGATAACAAACCAATTACTTCCTTTAGATCAAATTCCATGGAAATGAAAAAATACAGCTCACTGTTATTAACAGGAAAGGCACTGAGGGAAAAACCTGAATTTCACTTTACAAACCAGCAGCACAAGAATGCAGTGGCAGAATCATGTAAACAAAGGCAAAACCACCAAGCATCCACTTACTTTCCTGGATCTGGCATTTGTGTGCAGAGCAAACGCAGCGACTGAAAGCTCTTCCGGATGGAATGGATGTTTGCCATCCCCATGAACACTACTTCACAGTTTGGGTAATATTCTGTGGGGAAATATCAAGATAGAGGGAAGAAACTAACAACTACACAATGTTTAAATTCATCAAACCAAACCACTGGTGCCATGGACAGATGAAATAACCTGTTTACAAATGTTCTGTAAGGAGAGATCAGGACTTGGAGCTGAGGAGGTATTCCAGACATTACACCATGGCAGAGCAAAACAGGAAGGAGCTAGCAAAGTGTTTGTGTATTTACTTTCAGTGTTTCACTTTGCATTACAAAAGGCAGAGTACAAACCTATGGGAATAGTGATAGAAGCTCCAGATTATAGAATGGTTTAAAAAGACTGAGAAGCACCCTAAGAGACTGTAAAGCATCAAAAGTGTTTAACTCCTAATTTATGGATTTGGAATATGGGATATTGGGTGCTTGCACAAGAAAATACAGTGGTCTCTTAAAAGAGCATGTTTTCTATCATTTGATTTCCCAACTCTTTACCAGCCCAACAAATCCTGGCCTCAACCAGAACATCCTGTTAGTGATGGACTGTGTGACTCCAGTCAGAAGAGACCGACACCATCAGACAATTTAAGCATTGTTTTGTCTTTTTACTGGATGATATTATGTATTAAATAAAGCACAACATAAATTACATGTTTTTATAGAGAGAATGAAGCAAAATAGGCAATGCCTGGAGAAAAATATCAGCAGAAAGGAAGCACTTAATGCAGGTCTGATGTATTGAAGGAGACAAGCTGTTTCAGAATCTTCTATAAATTCTGGTAGAGAGGAAGAAAATTAAACTTCCTGGAGACTTTGTTTTTCTGATTTGAAATTTTATTCTCTGATGAAGAATTAACTTGTTCAGCCTGGAGAAGAGAAGGCTCCTGAAGGGGAGACCTTAGAGCAGCTCCAGTGCCTAAAGGGGCTGCAGGAAAGCTGGAGAGGGGCCTGGGACAAGGGCCAAACCTCCTCTAGTGGAAGGTGCCCCTGCTCATGGAAGGGGGTTGTAACTGGATGAGCTTTAAGGTCCCTTCCAACCCAAATCAGACTGGGATTCTGTGATTTAGTAGTTTTGAGGTGTTAAATGAAAAATGCATCTTTTCTAGTACAGTCAAACCAGCTTTGGTTACCTATAGTTTTTCTGCCTGGTATTTTTCCCTACATTCTCCAGCCATGGAATTTTAACAGGCTGCATTCATATCCAACAGTGACCATAAAATAGCACCTTCTTTAGAATACCAACAATTTACACATGCCAAAGAGCTCGGAAAGTGGTAACTGCAAATGCTTTCCAAACAAGATGAATCAGGAATTCAGTTGCTTTGGGTTAAGATATAAATGCTGAAAAATGGTTCAGCTTCAGTAAATTTGCTGCAAAGTTGTGTTCTGCTCAACAATTCTAGACTATTACTATTCCCTATAATCAGTGCCTTTATACAAGTTTGCTCAGGGATTTTTTTAGACATCAGCACACTGGACACCTTTGTCTCACTCTAGTTTATGTATTTGACTCAGCAGGGGAAAGCTAATCAGCATATTCCACACAGTTCAGCATTTAGTGAACACTGTTACCAGCTGATTTTATGTTCTGAGAAAGAGACTTCATTTACAGCTAAGCCTGTCCTTTTGAAGGGCTGTGGGAAAGCTGCAAGGATCCAGAACCTTCCTATGGATGAATATTATCTGCATCCACGCAGTCTGTTAAACGTGCAGTACTGAAGCGTAACAGTGTAGTTCTATTTGAGCAAATCCTTGTGATTAACTTAAAGCTGAGAAGAAACAGCTTACCTGGGCACTCACAGCCACCACCTTTGGCTCTGTTTGCCACAGCTGCTGCGTATGATCGTGCATCCAAGATCAAAAGCTTCTGAGGCTGTATCGCCAAGCTCTCTGCTCCTGAAGCATTAGAGATGGAGGAGTCTGGGGAAGAGGATATGCAACTCATGAGTAACTAAAAGGATACTCCTGACATTGCTTACAACAATATTCACTCAAGCCCCACAGTGCATATGCACTGCACACACAGGAACTGGAAAACTCCTGATTAAGCCTGATTATCTCTTACATGAAAGACAATAAGCTTTTTATATAAAACTGTGCCCCTTACAGAAAAGAGGCAGTGACAAACTCACCAAATTCCACATCAGAGAGGTCCCCTCCATTGGAGAAATCTCTGGAACAATTCCCATTCATTAACTTGTTACTGTTGGACCTTGAGTCTGAGGCACAGGCTTTGGCTACAGACTGGACAAGGTGTTCATCATCTGCATTCCTCCAGCCCCACCAACTGACCTCCGGCTGTCCACAGCGGGAAATAACTGCTCCATTGCTCTGGTGCCTGAAAAGGGAAAGAAGAAAAAGAACTTGTCTAACTTAAATCAGGATGAAAACCAGAGGGCACAAAATCAAATGTACTCCAGCAGCTGAACTCCTGTTGGGGACCGCTCTATTGTTCAGTAGTAAGCCTCAACCTGTGATCTAGTGGTGATGTATTCCATGAGCTTCCCTGCAAAACGCTGACTGTGACCACGCAGTCACTAGAAGGTAAAAGTCAAAGCTGGGGTAGTGTTTTCTTGTGCAATACTGTTAGCCACTGAAAGCTGGAGAACATTCTAGAAGAGCAGATGAGGCACTGAAGAGGCAGCCAACACTGGCAGGAAGGCAGGTCTACTGCTGTACTACCAGAGTGAGTTAGTGGATGGAACTCACACTAAGTTTGAGGCTGGAAGACCTCAGAGATTCACTTTTTGATGGGTTCTCTTAAAAATCCAACTACCACTAATTAGATCTGAAGAACGTAGCCATTCTGGTCGGACATACTGGCAGAATTTGGCCAGCCTGGTCTGATGATGTCTAATGGTAACCCAAACTCTTGCTTTTGGATATCGATGGTGTCCACACCAAGGCATCACCAGTGAGTCACCAGAAGCATTCCTTGCTGAAACCTGCTGAACTGTATCATGAAGCCAGTGGATCTTGGGTACTGTTTGAGTAGCTAGAAGGAAAACAGCCTTTCACATCTCAGGATGCTAAACACCTGCAGCTTTACTCATTATGAAGCTTGGTATTAGGAGTGGCTCTGCAATTCCCTCTTCATCTGCATCTATCTCCTCCACTTGTGGCTCTCCTCCACCCCTCTTCCTGATCCTTCTTGGGTAGTGTTTTATTTGCTGCTGCTCAAATACCTATCAAGTGGATCTAGTTCCAAACCCCTGCCACAGGCAAGGACACCTTCCACCAGCTCCTTTAGGCACTGGAGCTGCTCTAAGGTCTCCCCTTCAGGAGCCGTCTCTTCTCCAGGCTGACCCAGCCCAGCTCTCTCAGCCTGGCCCCAGAGCAGAGCTGCTCCAGCCCTTGGAATGTTTTTTCCCTATGCCAATTCTAGTTCCTATATGTGATGGTACAGCAAAGAATTTTAGAGTCTTCCTGCAAACAAATTGGCCACTTCAGCTTCTTGTTAAGCAAGACTTGTTCAGTTCCCTCTAACAAGGCAGCAGCACAGAATGGGGAGAGTTACCTGAATCAGATGTGATGAGCAGATCCAGGCAGCCCTGAGCAGTCAGAGCTCCCCCAAGCCTATAAATCTATAAATCCCGACTTTTCTCCTTCTCACCACTCTAACAGATGTTTATGGAGGTGGCAGGTTTGTTGTCAGAGCTGCCAAGGCCCATCAGGAGCTGAGCAGCACCATATCCCTGCAGTACCACTATGGGGCTCAGCACCAGGCAGCAGCGGCTGCCTCCGCGATGCATTCACAGCAACACTTCCCTCGGGTTAAGCCTCCTTGTTGCAAACCCTGACAATTACAAACCAGGCTGTGATATGGGATTTGAAGGGTTTTTCATAGCTCTTTTGTAATGGTTCCATACAAAATTCCTTCCTTCAGCACAAGCAACCGACCCACTGCAGGAGCTGAACTGAAGGAAAAGCGGCTGACACCAGGGGCCAGCATGAGAAGGGAAATGGGGATGTGCTGAAATAAACAACCTTCCATTTACAGCTCTCCTGATATCAAATTAGTTCAGCAAAAAGCACCTGCCAGTCACTGAAAGGCCACCCAGCTCCCTGCTATGCTCCTGCACAAGTGACATAAGGGAATAAACCACCATTACACGTGTACCAAATCTATTTGGAACGCTCAGAGAAACTCATTTATTTTTCCCTATATTCTCCCAGATTTCATTACTACCTGCTGCGGAATCATTCTCACACATTCATCAAGAGTTACATTTTCATCTCAAGGTTCTTGCCTCCCATTTATACCACAAATAATAAGAAATCATTAGGCCAAAAGCTGAGTTCAGTGCTGGCTGTGAAGGCCTCGCACTCCTCAGCCTGCACAATGGTACAACAGACCAGCAGAATCAGCAAACAATTCTATTACAGCTGGAGGTCTGAGGAATCATACTCATTCCAAAGGGACTGGCTACAGCAAGGAAAAATAGCAAATGGCTTAAGTGTGAATCCGAGGTCCCCAGAGGTAGAGCTGGGGGTAAGATGGTGTCACTCAGATCTCAGTAACCAAGGAACCACTGGAAAGAATTAAAGCAAAGCCTCCAATGCAAGTTCCCTGATGCTCTAGAGACAAAGCAGAAAGTAGCCTTCCTGCAGGAGGCCAGGCTGGATGTGGTTCTGGGCAACCTGGTGTAGCTGAAGATGTCCCTGCTCACTGCAGGGGGGTTGCACCAGATGAGCTTTAAAGGTCCCTTCCAGCCCAAACTGTTCTATGGTACAGAAACTAAAGCATAAATCACCATTAGACAACTATAAAGCCCTTTATAGAGCCTTATGTAACTGTGTGATGAATGGTAAACCTCTGCACATGCTTCATCTTCCTTGTGTTCAAGAAACCTTTTGAGGACAACAATAAATCCACCAGGTCCTTGTATCACCTTGCATCCAGGAGGACTAAGCACAGAATCCCAGCCTGGTTTGGGTTGGAAGGGACCTTAAAGCTCCTCCAGCTCCAACCCCTGCCACGGGCAGGGACCCCTTCCACTGGAGCAGCTTGCTCCAAGCCCCTGTGTCCAACCTGGCCTTGAACACTGCCAGGGATGGGGAATCCCTGGGAAAAAAAGATCCCCAAAGGCTTCTCCCTAACACTGATTTTATGGGGCCAACCCAGAAGAGCTGCAAAGCCCATTACCAGCCAGATTTAGCTATACAGCTCTGTGCCCAGATTTTAAACAATTGTAAAGAGAGAAAAGCTACAGAAGCTGCTGTGAGGATTTTCTAGAAATCAGAGCATGACACAGCAGCAACCCTCCTGACAGCCCAGCCTCGTCCAAGTACTCTGGATGCTTCCTCCAGCCACTCAGCTCCTCAAGTGCTTGGCGAGAGCAGACAATGAGGGTTTGTTCCATGTGTCTGCCTCTGGTCTCGCTCTGTCCCAGTGCTCAGTGATCAGAGTCAGGCAAGTCACTGGGTGAATTATAAGACAACTATTATGACTGTTTTCCCCCCTGAAGTAAAGCAAAAAGAACAGATCTGACAGAAAGAGCTGGGCTGGGGCAGCCTGGAGAAGAGAAGGCTCCTGAAGGGGAGACCTTAGAGCAGCTCCAGTGCCTAAAGGGGCTGCAGGAAAGCTGGAGAGGGGCTTGGGACAAGGGCCTGTAGGGACAGGCCAAGGGGAATGGCTTGAACCTGCCCGAGGGGAGACTGAGCTGAGCTCTTAGGCAGAAGCTCTTCCCTGTGAGGGTGCTGAGGCGCTGGCACAGGGTGCCCAGAGAAGCTGTGGCTGCCCCATCCCTGGCAGTGTTCAAGGCCAGGTTGGACACAGGGGCTTGGAGCAAGCTGCTCCAGTGGAAGGGGTTCCTGCCCGTGGCAGGGGTTGGAGCTGGAGGAGCTGCAAGGTCCCTTCCAATCCAAACCAGGCTGGGATTCTATGACAGCCTTTCCCCCACTCACAGAGCTGAGCAGAGGATGGAGCACCCACAGACAGAAGGGCCCCAGGGCTGGCCCCTTCATTATTTGAAAGAAAAAGGAGAAAAGAGGGAGGATTTAAAGCTAATGGGCTGTAGCCATTAGCTAATTTGTTCTCCCTTCACAGAACCAGAATTCTTAAGCTAGGTAAATAATGATTTGCAACCTACTCTGAACTCTCCTACCTTGGCTCCTCTGACCAAAGCTGTACAAACGTGTCAGCTTTACCATTCTCTAAATTTAGCTTCAAACTCAGAGCAGGTTTTCCTTCCTGTCTCTGCAGAAGCAATGGATGGACAGGCAGATAATGGAATGATCAGCGTTCATTATCTTTCTAATCCCTTTGTCCTCTGATTTCTTAAAGAGATTTTCAACATTTATGGGAGAATTACTACAACAGGAAGGTGCTCAAGGCATTAAATGACAGGTTCCAGAATACCTGACCAAAACCCCAAGCCAGAGATGATGAAATGTATTTCTCGTTAAAGCAGCTGCTAAAACCCAGGATCTCAGACAAGCAGTTTTCTTATGAAGAACTGCTGGACTCAGTCTAAGGAGAAGGCTGATTAAAACTACCTAAAATATGTAGATACAGCTAACCTACGTTCTGTTGTAATTTGATTTTTACATCTCCCTTAAATGATTTTGGTATTTGTCCTTGTTTCTAGTGCAGTGTGAGCATTGGCCATTGAGAACTGGAGCCAAAGCAAGGAGCCAGAGATGCGGTTTCCCATTTCTGCAGGAGATGCAAATGCTGAGTGCTCCTACAGCGTCTTTGAGATTAAATGATACAAATCTTACAGGGCAAGAGGAAATGGCCTCAAGTTGCACCAGGAGAGTTTTAGATTGCATATTAGGAAAGATTTCTTCACCCATGGGCTGTCACGCACTGAAAAGGCTTGTTCCAGTAGTGGAGTCACCATCCTTGGAGGTATTTAAAAGATGTTCAGATGAGACCCTCAGTGCCACGGGTTAGTGGCAGCCTTGGAAGTGTTGGGGAACGGTTGGACTTGGTGACCTTAAAGGTCTTTTCCAACTTGACTGATTCTGTGATTCCCACTCAGCATGAACACGTAGGAAGTCTGCCTCACCCATTTATGGTTTGACAAAAGCCAGTATCTACTGCTGCCTCACACCTTCCTGGGTTTTGAACGGGTATAAACCAACACATATATAGGTAGCAAAGGCAGAGACAAAGACCCTGAGCTCTCAGGCCCAACACATCCCACCCTGCTGTCAGTTAAATGCAGGTCTGAATGTTTCCTCATGTGAAGAGTCCCCTGTCAGCATTGCTTGAGATCTAAACCCTCCAGGTGGTTTGTGTTTTGTGGCAAGGTCCTGCTCTCTACGCAGCTTCTAGGATCCTTCTGGAGTGGAACAGCAGAACCCCAGCACAGATGGAGGCCCAGGGGGATTCAGCTTGGGGACCGCTCCACCAGGCAGCATGGAGGTGGCTGTGCCAGGTTTTGTTGCCTCTTCCCAGCCTGGTTCTCGAACTTTACCTTAGCAGGTCCTGGATATTCTCTGAGATGTTCTCCACATAGTGTTATACATGCACAAATACAACAAGATGAAAGCCAGACCTCTCTTTACTTTGAATAAATGGGAAAAATTTGATTTTCAAGTCTGCCAGGCTCATTGAGGGACACCCGGGACATAGAACACCTTTCCTTCCAAGCTAAAATTCCCACTTACAGCTTCTTTCAGCATTTATTTTCTATAACATCCCATTTGTAGCCTGGTGAAAGCTGTTCCATCTGCAAGAGCCTCACCTGTACACAACAGCAGGGATACGCTTCCAGGACCGAAAGCTTGCCACACTCTCTAGCTCCTTATCTGTGATCCAGGCAGGAACAATGATTTCCTGGGGGTAACTACCACAGAGCCTGCAAGAGAAGTGGTGAAAAGGGGTTAAAGTGACACAGAGCACTTACACGCTTCCCAGACAACACACAGTAAGCAGTATGGGCAACCTGACAGCTCTTCATCTCAGCAACCTGCCAGTTTGTGAATTCCTGTTTCACGGTATGCCAACTAACTCCTCCTTCACCTGTAACAAAAGGCACTGGGAGCACCGAGGCGCATAAAGGCATTTCAGGGTTTGAAGATTCCAGCTTCCAGTACCTGAAGGGGGCCTACAAGGATGCTGGCAAGGGACTCTTCGTCAGAGACTGCAGTGACAGGACAAGGGCTAAGGGGTTCAAACTGAAACAAGGGAGATTTTGGTTACATATAAGGCAGAAGCTCTTCCCTGTGAGGGTGCTGAGGCGCTGGCACAGGGTGCCCAGAGAAGCTGTGGCTGCCCCATCCCTGGCAGTGTTCAAGGCCAGGTTGGACACAGGGGCTTGGAGCAAGCTGCTCCAGTGGAAGGGGTCCCTGCCCGTGGCAGGGGTTGGAGCTGGACGAGGTTTAAGATCCCTTCAACCCAAACCAGACTGGGATTCTGTGATTTATCTCAGGGAATTCACACGCAGGCAATTTCTGCCTCCAGCTGAAACAAACAGCAGCATAGAAGAGAAATTCCAGGTCTCTCCATGCCAAAGAGTTAACTCCTGGATTTTCTGGTCACAAAGCACAGAGGCAGAGCCACGCTGGCTACCGGATTCAAGACAGAAGTGGGAAGAGCACACTGTCTCCTTAGCCCCTACTGAAGGCAGAAACCAGAGTGCAGGACTCATGTTTGACTGGCTAATGGAAATTTCTTCTACTAGATGCACATCCTCCTCTACAACTGAACTAGCAAAGCCATGACTGGCAGTGAGAACCCTGCAAGCACTCAGCAGTGACTGCACCATATTTCTGAATCATAAATGAGTTCATCCTCAGTGCATTCCTTTAAGGAAATGCATTTCCTGCATAAGGGCAGATAACACATGTGTAAGACTGTTCTAATCAGAAAAAAACACTGATTATCCTGAAAAAATGCCCTTTGCTCAAGTGCTGGCCACAAGAAGGAAAGGAGAAGTTTGTGTCATTCTGCTTCCATAGGACACAGAAAGGATTTTTTCCTTGTTCTCGGGGTTAAATGCACAAGGGATTTTTTCTTTCCTAGATTTTCAGAGCAAGACAGATACTGTTCTTGCAGTGACACCAACTACCAGCTGCAAGTCATACATTATCCTGCCGAGACAGAGCAAGGAAACCTGTTTCAGCACGGTGTTATGGCTGGGTTTGCTCTGAATTGCATTAGGGATCAGCCAGAACACTGTCCTACTGACCACGCATGGCGAACACCAGCCTCTGCTCCAGCAGCGAGAGGAGAGGACAGCAGCCTGGCCTCCGAGGACCACAGAAGGTGTTTTGTTTTCAGGATCTACAAGCTCAGCTCTTTCAAACCAACTTCTTTTTGGTTTTTAATACACATCTTGTCCATAGGTTAGAGAATAAGACACAACATAATGTGGGGGTTAAAAGCTCAAACTCCACTCTGCTCACTTCAGGCTTCCCCTCCTTCCATGGGAACACTTATTCTCTAAGAAGTCCTCCAGCAAGCACATCAAAATCCAGTATTTCTCAGCCTACAAAAAACTAGAGCAACTAACAAAATACTAATTCTTTAAAAGCACACTTTTTCTATAAAACAACAGAAAATCCTCATTCTGATTGTCCCTTATTAGGAGCTGCAGAACTTGGAAGGAGTTCCAGCAATGTGCTATAACAAAACTGGTGGTTTGAGATGCTGTTTGGCTGTGAATCAGCAGCCCACACAACTCACTTGTACTTCTCATTGATGTTGGAAATCCTCCAGGCATTGTTCATATCAAACCCCATCCGCTCCACTTCGTTTTTAAACCTTGAAGTTACATGTTCTCCTGGGTATCAAAAGCAGAGAGAGAAAATCAATGCAAAATAAGAAGCAAGGGTTCTACCTTTCACAACAGTGACAGAAAAGCACCACTGGAGTCATGAACAGCAGAAAAGAGAAAGGAACAGTCCAAAACCACCATCTGTGCTTCACAACTCTATTTGGGAAACCCATGGTGGGAGAACCACTGCTTGTACTCATGGCTCTCCCTGGTCAACTGTCCTGAAATATCAGTCTAAGGATCAGCCTCTGGAAGTTCAGGCAACAAACAACAGAGCCAAGCACATCAGCAAAGGTTGAAACTAGACCTTAAGGTCCTTTCCAACCCTAACTACTTTATGATTCTATAATCTATCAGCAGTCATAGTGGGAAAATGCCTTGACTAGTTTTTCCTTTCTAAAGTTCTGAAGAGATTTGTATGAATGAGAAGAATGGGAAGCTCTGGTCTGACTGATCCATGATGGGGGAATATGTAGAACGTGGTCTGGAACATTTCCATTCAGCATGCAATTCCAGCCTCAGGTTTCCTGTATGGCTGCACGCTAGCCCTGGAACTGAACCTACATCAGTTCTCTCTCTCCAAACTGGACATTATTCTTCCAGGAGTCGTATGGAGATATGAGGATAAATTGCATAAATCATTGTTTGACACAAGTATCAGTCACAAAATCCTCACAGATTCATGGCTTAATATATTAAAGGAACTGGAATGAGCTCCATATATTTCCTGGATACTTTTAGAAGTATCCAGATACAACTGAAAAGTACACCATGGCAATAAAGAATAATTCTTTAGACAGGCAGAGAGAATCAGAAGGTATCAATCAACACGGAGAAGGGGATAATGCTCAGAGGTTCAGAGTAAGAAATGTGATAAATTCACTGAGCACATGAGCAGCATAAAGTAACCCTGCAAGTCTGTCCATCGCTTGTCTCATTCAGTTGCTGTATCATGAACTCAGAGGCAGAGCATCACCCCACAGGGGGAAAATATCAGTTGAGAAATTAATCCTTTAAGTATTACATCTTTCCATTCTCTATTTCAGAAAGCCCTTAAAGCCTTTCAATACCCAAGATACACGTAGATATGTATTTATCTCCAAGATGTACTGGTCTGAAACAGTTTTTATGTGATGTTACAGGACAATTAGAGCAAATGTAGAGAAATTGGTGAATTTAGAATAAAGACTGCGGCCTATCCTTACCTGGGGACTTAATTATCTGTGAAAGAAAAGCTGTAATATTAATCATTCCTACAGGTCAGATTATACACTGAAAATGGTACCTTGCAAACCCCAACACGCTTTACCCTATGGACAACGTGCACAATGAGATTACTTTCTTTATGCTTTCTGAAAGGTAAAATGTGAGGATGACACTGCATGCAAGTGGAGAACATCCATGGCAGTACGATCTATGGACCTGACTGACCTTCACCACTTATTTCCTTTATATCATGGCACTGGTATCATAAAAAAGCAATGGCTCTGCCTCCTGGCTCATGCATGTTCTGCAGAAGAGGGACCACAGGTCAGCTCTACCTTCCTAGTGCAAGGTCACTTTGACTGGAGCTCACCAACAACTCACTGCTCCTCACGTGAGGTCTGCATGAACCTGAGTCTATCACCTTCTAGCCACCTGCTTAAACAGATCCACAGCTTGAGTCCCTCTGACAACAGCTGGATGGCTCCATGACTGACCAAAGTAAATCCACCCCAATAATTTCCTTGTGATATTCAGGTACTGCTTTGCATGCTGATCTTAGAGTAGCTATGGTGGGAGCTAATTTCTCCATTGTTCAGACAGAACCAAACTCAGGCTGTGCAGCAGACATGCAAGACACTGCAGGACACCCTAGGTACACTACACCTATATAACATACATACAGTATAGCCACCAGCTAGTGAAGAAATGCAAGAAGTTATGTACAAAGGAGTCCATCCTGGAGCTGTCCATGTTCAGCTGACAACAGCACTGACTGAACCTCTTTGTAACTGGTTTAGAGGTTCTAGATTTCAGAACAGGCAGTTCTACTTATCAATGCATCTGTGATGATGCCAAAACGTTATCCATACCTGGCCGGCACAAGTCCCCGTGCTGCTCCTTCTCACTGGCATACACCTCCATGCACCACGCGTGGTAGGCAAAGGAGAAGAGGTCTTCTATCTTGGAAGGAGGGCGGATGGCATTGTTCAGTCGCTTGAGCCAGTCTTGACACTGCTCAAACGTAGAGAACTGACACCTGCCCCAGAGACAAGGAGTTACCTGTGAATCTGCAGGAAAAGCTGACAGGCTGGCTGCAAACCATCTGGGAAATCCTGGAATCACCAGGCAGTGAGAAACCCAACATGACCCATCAGTGTGTGCTTGAGCACAGAAACCCCCGTGTGCTGGGCTGCACCCCAGAGCGTGAGCAGCAGCTCAGGGAGGGGATCCTGCCCCTCTGCTGTGCTATGGGGAGTCCCCACTTGCGGCACTGTGTGCAGCTCTGGTGTCCGCAGCATAAGAAGGATATGGAGCTGTTGGAGCAAAGCCAGAGGAGGCCATGAGGATGAGCAAGGGCTGCAGCTCCTCTTGTACGGAGCCATGCTGAGAACATTGGGGCTGTTCAGCCTGGAGAAGAGAAGCTGGGTGGAGACCTCAGAGCAGCTTCCAGTGTCTGAAGGGGGCTACAAGGATGCTGGAGAGGGGCTCTTCATCAGGGGCTGTAGTGACAGGATGAGGGGTGATGGGTTCAGACTGAAATAGGGGAGATTTAGGTTGGAGATAAGGAGGAAGTTCTTCCCTGTGAGGGTGCTGAGGTGCTGGCACAGGGTGCCCAGAGAAGCTGTGGCTGCCCCATCCCTGGCAGTGCTCAAGGCCAGGCTGGACACAGGGGCTTGGAGCAAGCTGCTCCAGTGGAAGGGGTCCCTGTCCGTGGCAGGGGTTGGAGCTGGAAGATCTTAAGGTCTTTCCCAACCCAAACCATTCTATGATTCTATGAAAGCAGAAAGCCAGAGCAAGCACCTTAGTGGTAACTTCCTGCTGCTTCTATATACATTCTAATAGATAGTAAAAGTTAAACCTTTGGATATTAGTGAAGAAATACACACTTACGAAGTCAAAACAGTCAACACCCTCCTAGTTACAAAGCAGGGAGATGTTTATCCATATGATTACTATCAAACCAAGGACACTATCACCAGGTTCTGTCTGCAATGTCCACACCACTGAAGACAGGGATGTGTTACAGCAGCGCAGTGACTGCTGGCCTCAGGTGAGAACCCATGGAACTATCACCTATGTTCTAATCCATGCATCATCACCCATGAACAAGAACATGGGTTTCATCAGACATAGGAGAAATATCCATGTGATCGTTATACTTGATTTGAGAATGAGGACAAACTCTGACACCTGAAATCGTACATTATTCCCCTATCTCATAGGTGAAGATTCTCTTCCTGGCCTTGGTGGGAAGCACAATGTCTTTGAAACTGAGCTTTGCCTGATGTTACAGACCAGCAACAACCCCTGCACAGCAGAAACCAATCTTCAAAGCCGTGTATTACAATTCATCAGCTTGTCTTTTCAAAGAGGACTCCTGCACCCTTTAGAATAAGAGGTGGGAATAACACCAGTGATCTATTTTCCTCTGACAGATTTCTTCAACATTTTGTACTTATAAAACATTCCAAGCATTTACATTCAGCTTGGTCTGTGTTCTGCTGCATTCGTGGCTAATGACAGCATCTGTATCCTCCAAGGGCAGGATTTACAACTCCACAAGTCAGGCAGTGGAAGGCAAAAGCCATGACCAGGTCATGAAACATGCCTGAACACCTGCAAGGAACCTGGAGGTGCTCATTTCCCATCCTGACTGGAAAGCCATCCAGACTACTAGCTTAGAGTGGCAATTCCACATTAAATATCCAGTCAGACAAGACACAACTCAGCTTAGAGACCCCATTTTCTTTCTGAATCCTTTTGAAGTTAGTGTTGCAAACAGCAAGTGCTATCTTCACTTGAGCTCTAGTGTTCAAAACACAGCCTATTGTATCAGGAAGAACATGAGCATGGTCTCAATCTGGTGTCTCAACCTCATACTCCATTGTGTTCCTGCAGCCAGTGCCACCGAGTGCTGATGCTCAGAGATGCAATATTGAAGGGAAATTGATGAGGAAGGGCATAAATCCAAATAATCTGTATTCACTCTACAATCGAGGAGAAACATCAAATTACCGTGACAGGAAGGACATCTTCCAATGTCAAGAGCTACAAGTTGAGAGGAAGTTAAATATTTAATTGAAATTAAACTAAATATTACTTCTAACTGAAAATCAGTCCTCAGGAAAATAGGAAGCAGCTGCTCTGTTAAACATTCCAAGTGCTCAGCTCTGACTGGGGCTCTGCTCATTATACAAAAGGTGCTGCCAGCAAACATTTCATCAAAAAGAAATGTTCCTTTCTTCTTAATTAAAGTTCATAGATCCAAATTAATTCCTGCAGCAGGGAAGTAGGAAATAGCTGTAGCTCAGAGGCTCCTGGCTTCAACTCCGAGGTCTGCTGAAGGACAGGCACAGAGAAACCCTCCCTTCCACCTGATGCTGCCCACTGGGTTAGAGCAGGCTGCAGACCTCGCTTCACCTCATCTCCTCACTTGCTTTTCTACCAGGCTGCTATGCCTTGAAGATAGCAACTGTGTCCTCACAGCCTTTAGGAACACCAGTGGCTGATGCCACCCAGACTGAAGGTTTCACCTCAAAGAGCACAAAGCCCACACCTGAACCCTGCAAGCCCCACATCTCCACTACCCACTTCAAGCGTGTGTTTAAGCAGTTTTATCCAGTATCTTGCACCTAACTGAAGCAATATGTCATACCTGACTGTAAGGCAGGGAAAATGCAGTGCAAATGAAATTCATTTCAGAATAAAATCAAGACGAGCCGCTTGGGCTCAGATATTGCTGCCATGTCTCACAGCAAGCAGAGAGGCAGAAAGCCTTGCTCCCATCTTCCTCACACAAATGCCCACCCATCATATGCAAACTCAGACCAGAGAACATCTTTTGAGGGCAAGCAAGTGCAAAAAGAAGAAAATAACCCTTCTTGAAAGCAGCAGAGCTCTCTGCAGCACAAGGAAAGCAGAGGTACCCCCGTCCAACACGCAGCCCCTTCCTACCTTATAACCTTGCAGTCTTTGCAAGTCAGATGAAGTTGAAATATATCACGGCACTCAACACTTTCTATAAGCTGCAATGGAACCTGCAATTAAAAAGATGATATAATTTTAGTTCAAACAGCACTAACACTGTAATTCCTTTGCATATCTCACAAGGATTTATTACAGGATTACATGGGCCCTAAAAAGAGAGAGAAAACAAAATGAAGGGAATCTACTTCAGCAGCTCAGTACCACGTATCAGTAGCTTCAGTTCCACTACTGTATGATCCAAACTGGTGACAAATGTGAAAGCACAGAGACCCACAAGCTCTTCTCGTGAAAGCCTTCTTCTCTCTTGTAAGTCTGAATTTGGGATCTTGGGAATATCATTCTAGCTGTTGGCTTTGCAAAGGCAGGAAGGGACAGGACAAGCTGTGGCAGTGTTGTCTATTAAGGGACTGGAATGGACCGCAGCCCAGAGAACCATCTATTCTTTCCTCCCAAATGCACAGCCTCAAGGACACTCAGTGAATTATTTAGACCCACCACTGCCTCCCATGGCAGCACCATGGCCAGTGAGGCACCTCTGCCCAACAACCCGAGTTCAGACTCTAGCACACTTGCTTTTCAGTCAAATGCTGCTTTGCCTGTTAAAACTCTCCCCCCAAACCCTCTTTTCTAGCAGTTTTTCCCATGTCCATCTTCATTTAAGCAGTTCTTGCCCCACTCCCTCCTCCCAGCTCTGTAATGACAGACCAAGGATTCTTCTACTCCTGCATTATTTTTTATTTCCTTCTTTCAAAGTCACTCTTTGCTCTGTGCCCTTTCGATCTGCCCTCTGCACAACAGCCTTTCTTCCTCCCTGTGACAGCCTACCTGCAGCTCAGCATCCATTTCCTCAGCATCTGCCTGTTTCTCTTCAGGAGAACATTCATATCCATCTTCCTAATTTTCCTTTCATAAATATCTGCCCTCCGATCCTCTTGCATTTTCAATCTCCTTCCTGGTCATTATTTCTCCTCCAGTAAAACTCTGTGAAATTACCTGCCTCCACTCCCCATTCTTCCCATTGACAACCTTCCATTTGCCTCGTTAGCTTCCTGGGGCTGATGCACGTAGGCAGCTGGACAGCAGTACAGTGAGCCTGCTCTTGACAGAGCCATCAATTCTATCTGCAGGCACTTCCCCATCTAATCACAGCTATCAGGATAAAGCAGTGCAGAGCGATCATTTTAGCTTTGACAAGAACACACACGCATGGTTATGCCAGGCCAAGCATACACATTAGAGTATGTCCTGCAGCATCCAGGGACCCCTTCCACTGGAGCAGCTTGCTCCAAGCCCCTGTGTCCAACCTGGCCTTGAACACTGCCAGGGATGGGGCAGCCACAGCTTCTCTGGGCACCCTGTGCCAGCACCTCAGCACCCTCACAGGGAAGAGCTTCTGCCTAAGAGCTCAGCTCAGTCTCCCCTCGGGCAGGTTCAAGCCATTCCCCTTGGCCTGTCCCTACAGGCCCTTGTCCCAGGCCCCTGTCCAGGTTTCCTGCAGCCCCTTTAGGCACTGGAGCTGCTCTAAGGTCTCCCATTCAGGAGCCTTCTCTTCTCCAGGCTGACCCAGCCCACCTCTTTCAGCCTGTTGTGTTCCTTGTTTTCCCAGTTCAGAGCCTGAAAACTGTTAGCGTTGTGTTACAGGAGGGTTACTTTGAACAGTGTGAGGCCAAGGCTATGTGGGGTATGTCCTAAAGCAGGGTATAGTAAAACACCTAGAGAAACTGAGGGTGCAAGGTCAACTCAGGAGGTCCTCAAGGAGTCTCCCCGAGGTGGACTGAGTCAAATCCCCCCAGGTGTGATCTTGTTCATATTCCTACAAGGAATGCCTGGAGCAAAATTTGCCTTTAATTACAACTAATTACACTCAGGATTTGTCTTGAAGGCAATCATTCAGGCTTCCCCTCTGCTTTCACAACCAACACACATGCAGTGTGACAACTGGAGCAGCAGGACCTGAGAACGTAGCAAGGACTAAGCCACTGTTCAGCACAGATGAACCACAACTGTGCCACCTGAGGAAGGAAGATGCCAAACCAACCAGTTGCATTGAAGGCCAAGCAAGGGACAGCTCATACTAAAGCTCTGCAGACTGAAAGTCTCCCTTATCTCACCAACATGACTTTCTTTTACGATGTCCAAACCCTGCTATTTGAAAGAGGCTGCCACAGCTCCATGGTATCATGGGCTACACTAACATCTGAGCTCTCCCATGCACGTGGTTAGCTTCCAGGGAGAAACACTCACCAGCTGCAAGCTTGAGACGTACTGAAGGGAAGGCAACGCACAGAGCTCAGCCTGGGAACCAACCTGCCCACGTGCACAGGGAGATCACTGTTGAGTCTGCACTTTTATCCCATGGATAAATGTAAGTCAACACTTCTGAATGTCATAATCCCTCCAATTTATGCATGGTCTACTGGATCTTTTAGGCTTGCATTTAAAACACCATGTTCCTGTTAATACTGTGAGATCTAGGAAGTTATCCATGGGAAAGATTCACACATACAGCTGTTTTCTGCAGTGTTGCAATGTGAGAATTATCAACTTTTAAATGTATTCAAGCAGAGGTGCAGCAAGTGGTGTAGCTGCATTGTGCTACACACTGAGGTTTCACAAGCACCATTCTCATGGCCAGTCTGGTGAGCTGGAAACAGAAAACAGTGAGGTAAGAAACCAAAGGCCAGGAATCCACATTTAACTGGATTCCATTTCCTCCACACACTTGCCTTTACTAAGGGGTGAGTAGCTGACGGGCACACTGCTTTCTCTGGAGCACCATTCCTACCAGGAGAATGTTCTACCAACTTCAAGAGGAGATGCTAGAACAGCTCCACATTCAGCCACAGGGAACCAGTTTGTTTTACAAGTATTACAGCACAGATGTGTGTTAAGAATCCTCCTCCTTACAGAAGTCCCTCCCTCCCCTGAGGTGACAAGGATGTTGGTGGGGCTGGACTGCGTCAGGACAGTGATTCTCCTGAAAATCATTCAGAAAACCTCCAACTCCAAACATTAATGAACATTTGTACATGTTTAAGAAGGTCTCAGAGGTGTTCTCTGAACAGCTCTAGTGTTCAAGGCCAGGTTGGACACAGGGGCTTGAAGCAAACTGCTTTTACTCTAGTGGAAGGTGTTCCTGCCCATGGCAGGGGTTGGGACTGGAAGAGCTCTAAGGTCCCTTCCAACCCAAACCATTCTACGATCCTATGATATAAAACTAGCAGGGAAGAGTCGAGACAAACTCAATCAAAACTTCCTCAGTGAAGATTTCACTTAAAAATTCACCATTTGACCAATAATTTTGATTAACAATAACCAAAGTGATTATTACTCCAAAATTTAACAATTTAAACGTTGTTCCTAATTATTGCAAGTATGCTTTAGCCTTAAAGATATTCTAAATCCTGTCTGCCTCAGATTCCAGTGGAGTTTATATTATGGCATTAGTGATGGTCATATGGGTTATGGAAGAATAAGCTGTATTCTGCTTGACCTCACACACTGTCTGATTGATGGTTAATGGTGACACATGGAGCAGAACTAACAACCTCAGAGCAGAAAGCAGAGTGAGAGGGCAGATGTGGTTCTGGGTAATCTGATGTAGTTGAACATGTGTCTGCTCATTGCAGGGGGTTGGAATTGGATGAGCTTTGAAGTCCCTTCAACCCAAACCATTCTAAGATTCTATGAAAGTCTGAGAAACAAGATTAACATGGGAATATTGACAAGCTTTTATGGGCTTTTTCCTGAACACAAAGAATATTATTCAAGAAACATGTTTGTATCACAAAGCAGCAAAGGAATCCTACAAAGCATGTGCCTCATATCACACCACCTCCTTGCTGCCAGCAGCATGCAGAGATGCATCTGGCTGACTGCACTTGAGGCATCCCAGCACCCAGCTTTGCCCTGGCTGCCATCCTGCTGCATGCTGGCACCTAAACCTCAACTTTTAAGTCTTAAATTATACTCCAGGATGGAGTATGGAATGAGGAAAGTGAAAGCACAGTTATGCTACCCCTGCACATGCACCTACTTGTATTAGCTCCTTTGCATGGTCAGCAGGGAAAACAGTACTCCCTTAAGAATCCAATTCTTGGCATCACAGACTTTTTGCCATCATCATGTTAAAAATACCTTTACCTGCTGAAAACCCCCCATCTTGTGGATTTTAGCACTTTAGTGCTGTACAGATGTCCACCAGCCCAGCAGACACCCCTATTCAGCTTGCTACATTGACAGTCCATGAACTCAAACAGCACTTGAAGAAGTGGACTGATGGTAACTGACACAGGCACGTTTCAAAGTCTGCAGATAACACAGCTCTATGATTAGAAACATAAACCAGCAAGGGCTGAGATTCAGTTAATAAACAACAGTTTTATAAGTTAATCATTTGGTTCTGGCACAAAACAATAAAGAACAATTTAAGACTGCCATGGCATCAAAAAATTAACTCAGGTGCACAGGAACCCTGATGTTCCAGCCCACTGTGTCACACGTGTCTCAGCCATGCAGGTGTTGGACACTGGTCAAGTCTCATTTTGCTTCCCTTGCATTTCTAGCTCTGGATGAACACGCAGCTTTGGTGTTTTACACTTCACTTACCACTGTGTGGTTCAGGGTTTATGGCTGACACGTGGCAGTTGTGAGCAACTAACCAGGGTCAGGACTTGTCCTGAAATAAGGAGATGGGTAAAAACCCATCATCAGGAGGAAAAGAGTAACATGCCCCTTTGGATTTTGCCCCTTTGGTCTTTGGATTTTACTTTACTGGGTTTATTACAAACAGCCACCAAAGTATTCCTGTGCTGTGTGGGATGCCCTATCATATTTGTGTCATTCACAAAGACCATTTCAACTAGTAAGATGCTCTACCCACTGCAAAGGACTACACAATGCCCATTTAACTTGTGTCTATGATGATGAGTAGCTGGATACGTAACAATATTTAAGAGGTGATGCTTAGACTAAGAAATGTGCAGGCCTCTGAAGGGGAGGTTGAATTCGCAGATCTCTCACATCAATGACTGTATTCATACTGTTCAACTTCAGACATGTAACTGCAGTAGTTACCTACTTCCACCTTCTGAAGCCCCAAGCAAGGCAGGAATCTAGCTTAGGTGCTCCAAACAGCGCTTTGAAAGACCTTTTGTTTCTCTACTAAGTATATACAGAGCTTAGGGAGAGCAAAAGACTGATGCAGCCAGCTGTAAAGGTTGAGTGACAAAAAAGTTTCCTTACAAAGCCTGATTTTCAGAGGTGCTGAGTCATCTTTTGCTGCCTAAATACGTATTTGAGCATCATAAAGAGATTTTTCATTACCACTCAGTACAAAAAGCAGGATCACCAGGCTTTTATCCCAAATTCTCTTATCTGGGTTGAGTTCAGAATACCACGAACAACACTTACATTCACAACAGACTCCTTGAATTTGATGTGAAGCCTGTAGTTGGAAAGTGCAATGATGGCATCCTCTGCTCGTCCTACGTACTCCGTACTCTCACCATGCAGTTCAATGAATGGGACCTTCACAAGGGGGAGGAAAAAGTCTTTCAGAAAGCATTAACCAAAACCATTTCCCTCCTGCAAGCACACAACATCATGAAATCAAAAGGAACACTGCTGAGAATTCAGCCTGGCTGTTACTGCTAAGAAGGGAAGTCTTGGGTCAGGCTGGTACAAGGTTAACTGCAGCCTTTTCAAAATGATGCCTCATTTTCTCTTCACTTTCCTGAGCACAAAGTGCTTGGTCAGGGAAAACCAGGAGTCTTTATGACAAACCTGAGCAAACTCTCCTCACATTTAGGCAAGCAGTCAGACCAACCCTTTGATTTATGTTCTTGCTCCTTACTTAACAGAGAGTGACATCTCCTTCATGCTTCTAAATTCATCCTAAAGTAGGTAAAACATGCAAGATGAATAATCTTCTGTGCTACTGGTCACCAATATTCCCTAAGCGAGCTCAGGTAACCAGCTCAGACTGGATAAATCATAGCTGTTGCTCTGGATCTCCCACTGCAAATAAGGAAATGCAAGATGTGTTGCTGTTAGAGAGGCAGAAAACCTGCAGTCGTATCACACTGCACATAAAAACTGCAACTGTTCGATTAAAAAATGTGACTTAAGCCCAGTTTAGCTGAGCTGGGTGAAGAGTATCGATGCTCAACTTGGAAATAACCTGGGGTTACACCAACTTAGCTTAAATCAAGTAAAAAGAGTTTCTATTGAAGGAAACAAACTACTTCAGTTGACTGGAGTGTCTACATGGATAAAGCATGTAACTAAAATGGTATCAAAAGAAACTTTGGAAGACTAAGAAACCAATAAATACCCATTTTGTGCAACATAAAACTTTTGGCTTCTCAGCAGCAAGAAGCAATGGGAGTATCTAACTGCATTAGTGTGGGCTTTTTAAAGAACTGTGTTCTAAACTATGGACTAAAACCTAGCACTGAAACTCCTACACAAGTACTGGCTCTGTATTTCCGACATTCTAAGGACTCTCTAGTAACGGAACACCCAAGTTCTGCCCTACAAACAGCACATGAGCATTTAAACAGAACACAGGTTTCTCCTATTACTGTGCTCATTGTGAATAAAAACTCTACTGGAGAAGCCAGAGAACACACAGCTCAACTGGAGACACTGTGATCCCCACTGGCAAGGAACAGTGTGGTGATTACCTGAAGGTTCTCATCCTCTCGGATCAGCTGCTTCCTGGGAAAAATCTGATTAGCCTGGATGCATTCAAGGCTGTGCTGAGTCTCTTCATCCTGAGGAACAAAGCGTTACAGTGAACTGCAGCACTGCCACTTGCTGCCTGCCTTCCTCACCACACAGCAAGCTATCGGCTCCAGCAGGAGGAAGTGCAGAGAAGTCAGGTATCAGTCACTTACTAAAGTTACTCCACTTTCAAAGACAAGCATTGAAACAACTAAATATGATACTATAACATGTTTCCTTCCTGCAGCCTGATTAGAAAGTCATAAATAATAGAAAACCTTATGACTGTATGAGGAAAAAGGCATCAGCCCAGTCTAGTCCAGCACTACCTTAAAATTCAACCACTCCATGTGTAAACTTTGATTCTCTGGTGTTTTGAACTTTAGCCTATTCGGCTCTGTAAGAGGCCCCACAAAGCCCTTTTGCTTACCATGACAGGCCCTGGAGCAGAGGAGCAATCCTCGTCTTTACTCACGGTGCTTTGAGGCTCTTTCTTCACTTAAAATCTAGAAAACCAGAAAAGCATAAGGATGAAGTTATATTCATTTCCTTCTGGCAAATAAATACAAATTAACTTTTAAAGCCTAAGGATTTAGCTGTCAGAAATGTGCGGGCAAACATCAATTATGAGAAGACAAAATGCATTTAAAGTGACTCTCCTGAGAGACGGAATGGTTCAAACTGTGTCTGCTCCTTCTGAAGGATCACCTGAGAAGGTGGTGCTGGAGGGCACATGCCTGCACGCAGCCATCACACTACTGCTGCTGTAATTCAAACATGTTCAGCAGCTCAGAGCACCCTCCATTGTCTCCCAAGTCCTCTGCACATGGCAATGTGCAGGTTACACACAGGTTATCAAACCAAAGGGATCGGCGGCATCAGTTGCTCTGGCATCTCAACAGTTTGTTGGATCCTCCTCAAGTAATCTTGTTCCAACTACAGCATACAAACTAGAATTCATATACAGATAAAATCCCTCATTGTAGAGTTATGACTCATTTTTACATCAATAAGTGTGTCAAAATGTCCATTTTCTTGCACCAACCTTCCCAAGACCACACACTGGAAGAAGCGCTTCCCTGTGAGGGTGCTGAGGTGCTGGCACAGGGTGCCCAGAGAAGCTGTGGCTGCCCCATCCCTGGCAGTGTTCAAGGCCAGGCTGGACACAGGGGCTTGGAGCAAGCTGCTCCAGTGGAAGGGGTCCCTGCCCGTGACAGGGGTTGGAGCTGGAGGAGCTGCAAGGTCTATCCCAACCCAAGCCAGTCTGGGCTTCTATGACCTGCTCATTCTGCTATCTAACGATCCCAAATCTTTTACCATCTGCAGATTTTCTGGCAGTACTGATTATAACCTAACCTGAGCTTCCCCTGTTTCAGTCTGAACCCATCACCCCTTGTCCTGTCCCTACAGTCCCTGATGAAGAGTCCCTCTCTGCATCCTTGTAGCCCCCTTCAGACACTGGAAGCTGCTCTGAGGTTTCCATGCAGCTTCTCTAATTCAGGCTGAACAGCCCCAGTGTTCTCAGCCTGGCTTCATAGGTCCTCAGAGCAGGGGAGAAACAGTGGATAAAAATTTGGAAGTTGGTTCAAAATCACACAGCTTGCAGCAGGACGCATGTGTGTATGTTTGTGTGTGTATGTGTGTATGTGTGTGTGTGTGTGTGTGTGTGTGTGTGTATATGTGTGTGTGTGTGTGTGTGTAAAAGGAGGAAATTATGAGCAGAATCGAGCTGGAACTGCCACTATTTCACTAAAATTTTATTCAAAAAGTAGATAAAAAAAAATGCCAATTTTAAACAAACAAAAGCTACAAAACTTGACAGAAGTTGGAATCTATCAAGTATGGAAACTGATAAGGAGAAATCAAACACCAGCACAGAAGTTTCCATGCCTGCAGGAACAACAGGGAGTAGGAACACTCTTTTAAGTTGCCAGAAACAACAGGGATGTAGAATACAATTTACCACCAGCAAGATGGAGACAGCATTACTGCTGGTATTGGTTTAAAAAAGGCAGAATCCTTGAACGTTTCTGTTCCAAAAGAAGCAGAGGAAAGACGGTTCATATGCAACCCATGCTGCAACCATGGTTCATATGGAAGCCATGCTATAACTGACAGGAACATTTAAAGGAACACAATGATTAAAGCTAAAAAGGTCATAAATTCTTCAGGTTTCATCTTTAATGCACCAGAAGCCATCAAATTCCAGCCCCTGTATTCAGAACACGAGCCTGGGCCTGATTCCACCATGACTTGGTATTTTACACAGGTTGTGTTTGGGGCCACTTATCTTCAGGTCCATGTCTGCTCTTGACTTGGAGATACCAGGAAAGAAGGGGCTCAGCAGTTCTCTCCAACACATCTGCCTCCAGCCTCCAGTCTCTGGTCCTCCCTGTATGTTTTGCAGCTCACATGGTGTCCCCATTCTTCTTGATGTCCAAGATCTGAAGACTGAGCCTTCTGCTCAACCCAGTTTAAGCTGATGGCTGGCTGAGCAACAGGCTCATTTGTCCAACCAGCCTCTGTCCTGCAGCTCAGCTGTCAAGAAAGGTACAGACTGTAGTAACTCTGCAGTGTGTCCTGATGCAATGAGGACTACGAGTCAAGACGAGTTGGGTTTAAAACTTGAGGTTTACATAAATCTCCTTCTCCATCCTTACAGTAATGGTGAGGTCCACATCCAGCTGTCAGGTGTACAGCTGGCCAGAAGAGTGAGGGCACATCTGTGTGAACACTTCTGAGGACATCTCAGTCTCCCCTTTAGCTGGCTGCTGGAACCAGATGTTACCTTCTGCGACCACCCACCTCTCCACCAGCCCCAATTCTGCTCTGCCAGAACAGCACCACTGTTAAAAGCTGTTAAGATCAAACACTTCCAGAGGAATTCATCATGATAACTTACGTGGGACTTCAGCAAAGCTTTAAACATTAATAGGAAAGCCTGAACAGAAGAATTCCTTGCTATTCCAGAAAACGCCTTTAAAGACAATTACCAGAGAAACAACAACCTAATTAAAAAGATAAGCTTTATTACACAGCTAAAGCCTGCTCAGCATCACTGATGAAATGTTTCCATGTATTAGGCACTGTGTTGTAACCAAACTGTTCCTTTATACTTCAAATTGATTAGATACATTTATCTTTAAAGTTTACTACATCTACATAGTAATAAACCCAGGATTAGCTTAGGAAATTAGGGCTTTTAAAATTTCTTGCAGCTGTGCTCCTAAAATCCATCATAAACCATCAGCAGAGACTATGCAAGTGAGTGCAGGACAACTTCATGCTTAACTGTTGTGTTCAGCTGCAAACAGCTTCTACTACTAGAATAGCCTGTGCGGGTTTACATGTGTATGGGAATCTGCCTTCTTAAGGTGAATTTTGGGAAAGCTGTGTGAAAAAACATGCCCAGCTCAGTTTTAATCAGGATTTTTCTCCCCTGTGAGGGTGCTGAGGCGCTGGCACAGGGTGCCCAGAGAAGCTGTGGCTGCCCCATCCCTGGCAGTGCTCAAGGCCAGGTTGGACACAGGGGCTTGGAGCAAGCTGCTCCAGTGGAAGGGGTCCCTGCCCATGGCAGGGGTTGGAGCTGGAAGAGCTTTAAGGTCCCTTCAACCCAAACCAGGCTGGGATTATCAGATGTATGATTTACCTTGGCCATATCATGGTTTACAAGAACTTACAAGACTGGTTCTAATGCAAGTAGCTTGCACACTCACACTGAATCCAGGTATTAGTGAAAGGCTTCATCAACTTCTCTGCCACAACACAAAACTACTTCTAAAAATTGCTGGGAGAAGGAGCAAGAAACACTGAATTGCTATAACAAAGTCGTTTGAGCCGATGGACAGCGAACACTGAGAGCAAGAATTGATTCCCCATCATGTCAACAAGCTGACCCCACTCCATCATCTCACCACTGCTGGAGGGAGCATGAGGGAAAGGAAAGACCCTGCTGGGGACAGGACCAGGGCCCATACACTCTTCTCAGAGACAGCCCCTGAGATTAACTCTGAAAGACCACTTCCAATTTCACTTCTTCTATCCCAAAGCTTTGGAACTCATTTCCACCTGCACACAAAACAGAATCAGAATTCCCACTGTGTTTAACTGTAGCTGGCAAATCATCAGCTCTTCCCTGATAGAAAAGACCATTTCCCAGAAATGAAATGGAAACAGTCCAGGACACCTTAGATATCTGACCAGGACAACACCTTCATAAAAAGCATCCTCAAATTCCTACTGATCAATAGCATCACCTATAAGGAGCAGACATCTTCTACAGAGTGCACTGAAACCCATTTTTATTGTTAGAAACAGCATTTTTTTGTCAAGATTGAGGCCAGAAAAGATGACGTTATCAAGTTACAGTGCTGTCCTTTCAACTGGAGTTTCACCTATATTAAATCACACCAAAAAAGGACTAGTCTTGTTAATTCTCCATCTTTATGTTCTGCCTGAAAGGATGAGTGATTAGTTAAGGTTGTAACCTCAGTCTGTGCTCACCCAGGATGGGAACATCTTAATTACCTTTCATTTCAGATGTGCCTCTGCTCTAAATGTTGTATATAATTAAGGCTGGCAATAACCATCTGTTTGTAGTGATTCTAAACAAAAAAGATGATGTAAATAAAGGATCATTTAAATTCACCTATATTTAAATTAAGTTGGACTTACAGCAAGGAGAAAGAAAAGAGAGGGGAAAAAAAGGAAGAAGGAAATAGCCAAGTGGTTCACTGCTCCCTGCCCACCTCCTGAATTTCATTTATTTCAGTATCAAAATCACACTGAGTTGACCCTCAGGCTCAGAACAACTATTCACACCCTGTGGCACCACTGCCCTCTACATTTTAGACAAGAATCCCAAAGTTTTGACATAGAAGATTAGAATCCCAGCCTGGTTTGGGTTAAAGGGACCTTGCAGCTCCTCCAGCTCCAACCCCTGTCACGGGCAGGGATCCCTTCCACTGGAGCAGCTTGCTCCAAGCCCCTGTGTCCAACCTGGCCTTGAACACTGCCAGGGATGGGGCAGCCACAGCTTCTCTGGGCACCCTGTGCCAGCGCCTCAGCACCCTCACAGGGAAGAGCTTCTGCCTAAGAGCTCAGCTCAGTCTCCCCTCAGGCAGGTTCAAGCCATTCCCCTTGGCCTGTCCCTACGGGCCCTTGTCCCAAGCCCCTCTCCAGGTTTCCTGCAGCCCCTTTAGGCACTGGAGCTGCTCTAAGGTCTCCCCTTCAGGAGCCTTCTCTTCTCCAGGCTGCCCCAGCCCAGCTCTCTCAGCCTGGCTCCAGAGCAGAGCTGCTCCAGCCCTCGCAGCATCCCCATGGCCTCCTCTGCACTCGCTCCAACAGCTCGACGTCCCTCTTGTGCTGTTGCCCCACAGCTGGATCAGGACTGCAGGGGCGGGGGGTCTCATAATTAAGAGAGGAATCACTGATAACCACTTAACCCACCTTCAACTGTCAGCTCGTCTCACCAAAGCAATACCATTTAGCTTACCAAAGAATGAGAGGGAATAAACCAGTCCTCTTTGTCCCAGAAAGTTTCAAGCTATGCTCTTCTGATACTTCACATTGGCAACTGCAAATAAAAAGATGCTGTTTTAAAACATTAACTTTCACATGAAAAAATACACATGTTAAATAGCCAGCAACTTATACAAGAACTTCAACTGCTACAGTAGCTTGACTTCATTAAATAGTACTATGTAAGGGGTAGCTGCTGAGAGCTTGATATGCCCAAAGAGGGAATTCAGTGACTGGATCTGTCAGGCAAGTGTGTGCTGGCTGAGGCCTCCTTTCTGCTAAGGGCAGGTCAGAAATCATGGCCACGAAGCAATTTAAGCTTGTTTTAAACTTCTTTGGTGCACAGACATGAAAAATAACCCAACCCTTAGCAATACAAGCAAGAGGAGAGCTCTCTCGGATAACATCCAGCTGCTTTTCTTCTCATCCTCAAAAGTGGGCTTTCATTTTACACTACCATCAGCTTTCCCACTGAAATCAGCTGCCCCAAGGCAGAGACACAGACCTCCATGAGTGCTCACTGCCCAAGTACTGCTGGGCAAACTGCAGCCAACCCAAGGCAACCAGCAATGTCCATATGGTACCACTCCTCCCAAGCCCCATCTTTTGACTTCCCCAGTGCTGTACAACCAGTGCTTCAACAACAAGTGTCAGCACTGTGTGGCAAAGACAGATCTGTCCAAAAGGGATCTGGAGAAACACTCTGATTTGCTTCATTCCCACAGAATCACTTCAGTAGGTGGCCAGAGCCTCCTATAGCACTGGAATGATGGCTGGGACACAACGTTCCATACTAAAATACCCAAACCCTAAAATTACGTGTTCCAGACTAACACAGCCATTCCTTGAGCACGCAAGCAGCCAAGCTGATGGAATTCCACTCCCTTGTATCCCGTGTGCCAGAGGATTTGCTCTTCACAATACCTTGGAGCTCTCCCAAGAGCATGCTGCATGCGTATGTGCCTGGAAAGCCAAACTGTATAAACACAGGATCCTGCTGCTACAAAGGGTTTGCTCCTACTCTGACCAGCCACAGCTACTGGGAGTTTCACACTCAGGTCCATTAAAAGAACGTAAATCTCTGTTTTGGATCTGTCTTGTCCTTTAGGGCTTATGACAGGGAAAAAATACAATCTGCACAAAAAGGTGTATGATTTTAAGACTGAGTAGAAGTTTGAAAGGTACATTTAAGTAGTAAAATGAGAGTTTAACTCTTAAAATGTTTTCACTTTAAAAGTAAAACATGCAGCAAGCCAAAGTGCTGACATTTCACACAGCGGACACACATTAGGGGCATCTCACCTCTATCTCCCTTCAGCTGGTATTTAGACAACCTGTGCTATGACAAACCACCCTGTGGATGATCACAACTGTCACCAGCCTCTGCTGCTCATGGATTGCAATGCTGGAGTACTTTCTAAGAGCAACATTCAGTTACCTGCAGCAAAGATCAATGTTATTTAACTTGGTTTAGAATCTCTCTCAACCAACAACCCAAATGCCAATCCCAATAGTTTTATAGGTTGGTAATTCATTGTCACAGAACCATGGAATGGTTTGGGTTGGAAGGGACCTTAAAGCTCCTTCTGCTCCAAACCCCTGCCATGGGCAGGGACACCTTCCACTGGAGCAGCTTGCTCCAAGCCCCTGTGTCCAACCTGGCCTTGAACACTGCCAGGGATGGGGCAGCCACAGCCTCTTAATCACAGCACACGAGGCACAGAGTACACAGTTTTACTTTGAGGTACCAGCTTGAGCATGCAACAGGTTCAACTTCACAGCCACGTGGTCGTACAAAGTCCCCTTTGACGGGAAACCAAAAAAAGAAGCCATGAAGAGCACTACACAACTCCAGTGACTCTTCAGAGCCAGCCTGCTGGCCAGGTCCTTGCTCTGAAACAGGCGAGATACACACTGAGGGGAGCAGAAGGCGGACTTAGTTTGTGTGCTTTAGGTCCAAGACAGAAACAAGCCTTCACAGGACCTGCAATAAAGTTGTTACTGAATTTAATGAGGTTGGGAAGAAGCCCCTGAATCCCAGGAGTTTTGTGGAGCAGTTTAAAAACAGGGCAACCACATTCCAATACAAGTGCTAATAGTCCTGCTTTATCCCTCCCAGCACTGGAAGCCCTCCAGGCCGGGCTCCTCGGCATTCCCCCCACAGGGCTGCAGGCACAGATAAGCACCTTGGACCTTATCACTTCCCGAGTAACTCTTGTGCCAAAGCAAAAGGAAAAGCTGACTGTAAGAAGAAACACAGCCCTAAACTCTCCTGGATCCCAAACCAGTTACTGACAGGAGGAGCAACGCAAGCACCGGTGCAGAAATAGCTGTTAACACAGTTAAACACATCTGAGATCACTGCCCCTCAGGATGGGCTGCAGCCTTCCCCTCCGTGTGCTCCCACCACTTCCTCTGCATCAGCTCTCCCATTTGATCCACACCAAGCAGATTCACAGAATCCAGTCTGGTTTGGGTTTGAAGGGACCTTAAAGCTCCTCCAGCTCCAACCCCTGCCACAGGCAGGGACCCCTTCCACTGGAGCAGCTTGCTCCAAGCCCCTGTGTCCAACCTGGCCTTGAACACTGCCAGGGATGGGGCAGCCACAGCTTCTCTGGGCACCCTGTGCAAGCGCCTCAGCACCCTCACAGGGAAGAGCTTCTGCCTAAGAGCTCAGCTCAGTCTCCCCTCTGGCAGGTTCAAGCCATTCCCCTTGGCCTGTCCCTACAGGCCCTTGTCCCAAGCCCCTCTCCAGGTTTCCTGCAGCCCCTTTAGGCACTGGAGCTGCTCTAAGGTCTCCCCTTCAGGAGCCTTCTCTTCCCCAGGCTGCCCCAGCCCAGCTCTCTCAGCCTGGCTCCAGAGCAGAGCTGCTCCAGCCCTCGCAGCATCCCCATGGCCTCCTCTGCGCTCGCTCCAACAGCTCCAGGTCCCTCTTGTGCTGCTGCCCCAGAGCTGGATGCTCCGTTGGGAAAGTGAAGGGTAGAAGATGGAAAAAGGAACTGGACCATTTCAGTAAATCCTACAAAAAGTGAACTGTGTCTAGTAAGGGAACTGGCTTTGCACCATCTTTCTTCCTGCACTGTCACATTCCCACAGCTGGTTTGCCATTTCTCTACTCAGGCACAGCTACTGAAGGGCGCATCAACACTGCCCAGTTTTCCCTGTGAAGTCCCTCTGGCACAGGGCTCCAGGACTCAAGGTGATGAGAACAGGAACAGTCAAAACTAAGCTTTTGCTTTGAACCATCTCCTTAGAACCCTTCGCTGTTGACTCTTTTGGGCACTTGGGCATTAGGTGCACACTCCAGCTAGCACACAGCTCTTGCGTCCACTGCTTGTTGTTGGAAGATGCTCTGGAGGAGCAGTGGGATGATGTTATCACACTGTAACAGTGAAACACCAGTCATAACGTAATTATAAGGTGGAAACTCAAAATTCACAATTCCAAGGTGTAGAACTTTCATCCCTGGAATATTCCAAACCTGAGCAGCCCCTGAGCATCCCAGCATCACAGCTGGCCCTACCCCAAGCAGAGCAGTGGAGTACATGGCCTCCAACCTAACCTACACAAGCCTGTGACAAGGGTTTTCTTGACATTTCTTTAAATAAAACATTGGCCAATAGCTTGGAAAAGCACCCTCGAGTTTTAACAAACACCTTTGTTGAATTCACAGATTGGAAAGTTGTCCCTCCAGTTTGTTAGCTGAAGGGCTGTATCCAGCAAGAACAGAGGAGGAATGACTGGCTAAGCACAAAGTGAAAAGGCAGAAGAGAACAGCAGCTTTGGGACAAAACAAATCCAAACTTCCCCTAGCTGCAGACAAATTGTCCTCATAGAGATGTAGAGAAACCAAACCACAAGTGACTATTGTAAAGGTGTATTTTTTTCCTCTCTTTGCTGAAGTAGGGCATACGTGCATGGGGTAGTCCATACCATGTCACAGCCTTAACACATGTGGCTGGTGGTTAAAAGCTCTCTACTCCTGCTCACATTCCTGACTTCACAGTATTACTGCTCCAACAGAAGCATCTCTGCAGTGACTGGACCTCCCCTCACACCATTACCATCACACATGTACCAGCCATGCACCACCTTTGTGTTTAGCTGCTTTCTGCCCAGCTTTAACTCGCATACTGGCTATAGTTCTCCTCTTTCTATCTTCTTCTTGGTGGATTCTACTTGCTTCCTCCCAAAACTATCTCTACCCTACTCAGTGTGCTAAGGAACAGGAACAGAACACCACTATCAGCTCCCTTCCACTTGGGCAATGTGGTTAGCTTGTGGCCTAGCTAAAAACCAGAGAGGGTGGGAGCACTGGAGCTGGCACCATGGACACTGGTGCTCCCAATGCTGGGCAAACTGAGCTCACTGCTTAACAGAGAGCTTTAAAACCTGTGCAGAGGAGGAATGCTGATCTTCAGGCAGAAATCTTCTGGATTCTATCGCCATATGGCTTCCCTATCACACACTTCTCTGAATTGTAAAGTGACATGATTCCCAGTTTGGAAAGCTGGTGATTATGAAGGTCTGTCCACATCAACACTCAACCGCATGACAGAGTTAAGTGGAGATGAGCAGCCACACTGAGCATCTCACCTGTCCTAGCACCATCCCCGCCAGTGTTCCAGACCAGCCTAAATGGGGCTTGGAGCAAGCTGCTCTAGTGGAAGGTGTCCCTGCCCATGGCAGGGGGTTGGGACTGGATGAGTTTCAAGGTCCCTTCCAAGCCAAACCAGGCTGGGATGCTGTGGTTAATGCAGAAAGGAAGCATTAAACTAAGAGCACTTTGAAAACGGTCGATTCCATTTTCTGTTCTACCTGTGCTGCTGAGAGTGAAGAATAAGCTCTAAGAGTCCAAAGCATCACAAAGGTTTTGCACCATGTCACTGTACTGACTCATACGTTAATGGTGGGTAATTGAGCCTCCCATGGATGCCTTCACAGGTAGGCCTATTAGCTTCCTTTGCCTTCCCACTAAGAACAGGCATTAGTCTGTTTTTAAAGCAGTTTGAGCTGATGATCTTTGCATCCTAGTTAAAAAAAATCACTTCTTGC